TGTGGGGGTCTTTGGACAGCGTGCTGTGCTGCTGTAGCAGAGCGATGATAGCGTAGCATTGAGACGGATCAGATCTAGTTTAGTGATAGTATAGCAAGAGTGATGGCGAAAAAGAATAGTTATAAGCAGTATACACTGCTTCAGAGATTGACTCGCGGATCAGTGAGTGAGGTCGAGAGGGGAGAGAGTGGAGACCCCCGGTGGAGGTCCGTCTCTGCAGCTACATTTGCGCGGAGCAAGAGCCCCGAGCAGAGACACACCCTCCGCCTCTCTCAGCGTATCAGCTGCTGCTGTTACTGATGCCTCGGATTCGTTCAGCAAACCTGATCATGATTTATCGAACACACACACAAACACTCACACGCACTCACTCACTCACTCACGCACGCACACAGACACTCACTCGCACACTGACATTCACACACACACACACACACTCAAATTCACATGCTTCATTCTATTTTATACATCTATAGTTTTATTGATCTTTGTGTTGTTGTTGTTTGACGTTTTGGTTGATGGTATAGAAGAAAGTTAAATTTTCTATCTGTGAATAAATTGCCAACAATTTGCCATCAAAAGTATTATTTCAGAGTCATGTTTTTATAATTTTTGTAATGGAACAAGTGTGGAGATGTTTGAGTTGTCACTAAAGCAGCAAAAATGCATCTAAAAGTCTCTTTTCTGCTTGATATGTTCCTGTTTACATACAGCTCGTTTCCTCTGTTTTCTTGCTCAGACCAGGTGTTATGGGTGAAAGTATGCTTTGTTCTATGGCAAATAACGCAAGAACGGTAAGAGGTAGAAACAAACTGTTTTTTTCAGAGTAAAGCAGAGAGGTGAATCTTTAATTTGGTGCCCTTGGTGTTTACATCGTCTAAAAAATGAATATTCTGTGGCACTTCAAAGTTGGGTCAAATCACCTGAAATTGCTGGCAGAATGCACTTCTCAAATCTGAAAATGCCTGGCAGTGAGTTAACGAAGCAAAAACTGCAGGGAAACTGAAAACAATTAAGGATTTCTTTATTCCTTCCAACTTTAACCATGTGATTGATGCAGTCAGGTCTGTGGCTGGATATCATGAGGAAACAAATCAATACAAGACTCCATCCTTGGCCCTCAAACTCGGCCATAGCCTCAGAAAGCTAGCAGATATTCTTGAATGTGACTCAAAAATGGAGCATTGTGTTGATGAACTATTTATTAAAAACCTCCAACGAAGCTTTTTGAGAAGAGGTGGGACGTCTGTGTTTCTTCTGCTGCCCTACAGACCCTCCGGCAAGCCAAGTGGAACACTCCGGACCTGCTCCCTCTGACTGAGGACGTTAGAGCCATGCATGCACATATTGAGGTATGTCGACCTGAATATGTGCAAACCCTAATAAGTGAGCCAACGTCTAAGCATTGGTCTAAACTGGCAGTTTTGACTCTTTGTGAGGTCATTATTTTCAATCGAAGAAGGGAAGGTGAGGTTTCAAAGATGCCACTGACAGCCTTTACCTTAAGAAGTAAGACTGGGATCCATTCTGACATTGCTCTGGGACTGTCCCAACTTGAGAAAAAGCTGTGTCAGCATTTTCAACGCATTGAAATTAAAGGGAAAAGAAGTCGGAAAGTGCCGGTTCTTTTGACTCCTGAAATGATTGCTTCGATGGAGGTGCTGGTGGAGAACAGAAGGGCCTGTTCCATCTCTGACCATAACCCATACTTCTTTTCCCGCCCGGGCGCAGACACCCACATCAGGGGATCAGACTCCCTACGCCAGGTAGCCAAAGAATGTGGTGCGGTGCATCCAGAGATGCTATCCTCAACCAAACTTAGAAAGCACATAGCTACTATGTCTACAGTTCTCAATATGAAAGAGAATGAGATGGACATACTTGCCAACTTCCTCGGCCATGACATTCGCATCCACAGGCAATATTACAGACTACCAGAGGGGACACTGGAGCTGGCCAAAATCAGCAAAGTGTTGATGGCCATGGAGCAGGGAAGAGTGACGGAATTCGAAGGAAAGAGCCTCGACCAGATACAAATTGAGCCTGAAGGTAATTCTTGATATTATTAAAATATGTATGATTTTTTTCCCCTAAAGGCCACTTGTATTTTTATTTTCTGTGCGACAGGGAGAGCAGTAGAGATCCTCTCACAAACGGACGGGCTAAAAGAAACTTCAAGCGGAGAACCTTCAACCATTCATCCAGATGCACCCCATGGTAGTGGCAGTGCCCCTTCTGGTAAGTGTACCAGGTGGGGGATTACAGCCAGGCTGCTTGGTCCTAACCCTGGGAGTGTATATTGCTAATATATTTTTATTTCTCTCCCTAGAACGTTAGAGAAAGCCATGGTCTGCATCTGAGGTGAAGGCTGTGGAGAAGACCATGACGCCTTTCATACAGACTGGAAAGGTCCCTGGGAAGTCTCACTGCCTGGCCTGCATTAATGCCTCACCAGATGACCTTAGACATCGGACATGGAGTGGCATTAAATTCTATGTCAAAAATAGAATCACTGCAATTCGAAAACAAAATCTAAAATAAAATTCCTTTAAAATAGTTGTTTGGTTTCTATTGACTGTTTTGTATTACTTAAAGTAGTCCCAGTAAAAAAAGATTATGTCTATGGGTCCCATTCTGAACGGCCCTGTCAAAGGGACCCACCAGGTAACAAAAACGTGTGTGTGTGTGTGTATGTGTGTGTGTGTATGTGTGTGTGTGTGTGTGTGTGTGTATGGGTATGCATCAAACTGAAATTTCCCCATTGTACGACGAATAAAAGACCTTCTTCTAGAAATAAATACATTTTGAATAGAATTTTGAAGTACAGTGCCTTGAAAAAGTAATACTTTTTCAAGGCACTGTACCTCAAAACTCGGCTTCATCCAACCACTTTTTAATCTGTTTCTTTCTGTGTCTTTTGTATCTTGCTCATGGTTTGATTTTGTACAAACTGTCCTATTTTGAAGTTTGACATAAAGATAAAAGCCTGTGTGGCCTAGATACGCAGAGCCAGGCAGTGGGCTGGACAGACTCCTCCACACATGATGGAGGAGAAGAAGAATTATCACAGACAACAGAGAAGGAGTCACAACAAAACACAAATCTCTGCTCCTGCTTCTCGGTGGAAAGGCTCTCAGACTGAGGGACAAAACGGCCAATGCTGGAGTCACGAACGATTACAAACTCAATATTTTTGCTCCCGGGGAATGTGGTGGAGATGTATATTTTTTTGTCTTTTGTTTTTGTGCGATTTATTCAAAAGTGATGAAGAACAAACATTATATTGAGTGAGAGAAGCACCACACAGTCCAAGGCCTGTCGTGTCTCTCTGCCTCGTTCACATCCGAGTGTCTCACTGGTAAAGTTAGTAACAGGAGAAAGAGAAGAAGGGGGAACGAAGAAATGAGATTCAACGGCAAATGTGGAGAATAATAGTAAGTTTTTTTAGTAAGTTTTTATTTATATACCGCCTTTTCACTGCAGATCTGAGTCTCAAAGCGGTTTACAATTGTTAATTTTGGGCACTTGTCCTCTCACTCCACACAGAGATGGGAGGGGCCAGTACAGGAGGCACATGCCAGAACTATTGGACATATTTTTAGTGGTAGGGGAAACCGGAGTACCCGGAGGAAACCTACGCAGACACGGGGAGAACATGCAAACTCCACTCAGAAAGGCCCTGGTCCGACCGGGATTCGAACCCAGGACCTTCTTGCTGAGAGGCGAGAGTGCTATCCACTCAGCCACCGTGCCGCAGAATAATAATGTCTTGTCCTGAATGTTCAAGGATAAGATTGATTGCACTACCCTCCTAAGTGTTTGCTTCAGCTCATGTGCAGACCATAATCTTATTTTTATCATTTTTTGTGATGTTTCTGAATAATATGAGGAACATGAATTTCAATACATCGCAGAATCGAATCACAATATGTAAAAAATTGCAAAAATGTTGAATTGTGGCCCAGATATCGCAATATTATCGAATCATCATATTTTTGCCAATTCCCTTCTCGAGTACAGAGGGCCTTTGCTTGAATGTTATCAAGACTTTTTGATGCAATAGACTCAAGTAGACCGTTGTGTGCATGTGAGTACCTTTAAGCTGGTCTTCGCTACTGCATGTGCCAGACGAGCTGATTCTCCTGTTCCAGCCACGACCACAGACCTGACCGGTCCCTGTGGCGTCGGTCCTCTGCCCCCGGTGTCACAGAGCCGGTCTCCCGTGTGCAGAAGCGCTCCTTCAGCCCTGTTGCTCCAGGTCTCTCTGGCAAATATTTGCAGTTTTTTTGCTAAATACTTCACGGAACTCACACAAGCACACACACTATTGTAAATATTGTCTCCACTTTTAGCCCACTTTTAGTTGGTTGATAGGTCAAAATGTAAAATCAATACATTTTATTATGGGGGTAGTTTGAGCATTTCGACCTCGTTGTGTCTGGAAATTAGATTAAATTAGTCTTTAGAAATGTGTCTAGGAAAAACAATGCGAACAGAGAGTCGAGGACATGACAGAGGACGTTTCACTTGTATTAGTGTGTTTTTTTATGCTGTTTTCTATTCTTTTGTTTTCTCTTTTGTGTCTGTGAAGCACATTGGGCAGCTGATGTTGTTGCAAATGTGCCACACAGAGAAAGCAGACATTAACAAAAACATGACAATAACAAATCTTAGTTCATTCGCTCCTCATTCACAATCATAGAGCAAACAAAAACAAAACAATGTCTGTTACCATGAATCTAGAAGACCATATATACAGATAAATACACCCAAAATGTTCTGTAAGCAATGTTCTATAAGCAATCTATAATAGGTCTGTCTGTATTATAATGGATCCATGGTCTGTCCTGACCTGTTGAACCAAATGCGTAACTGGAAACGCTTATCTGGCAACGCGTATCTGGCAACCCCGCTCCCTGTTTGACATTGGTCCATGCTCTGCAGTCACACATGGATCCTTTTTAAAGCTCATATTAGAGTTCAAACTGTAGATATCTAACATGAACATCCTCCGCTCGTCTGTGTCGAGGCTCTGCGGGGTCATCAGGATGCAAAGGTAAGCTTTAGGGTCTTTATTTAGCCACGAAACCCGCTTGTTTTTGTGCTTAAAGCGGTTAGCATAGCGTTAGCATAGCATGGCTAAGTGGCTACCTTATGTTTACTCTCTGAAATACCGAATATATGTAGAATAATTGTACAGGCTAACACGCAATGGTCCAGAACTGTATAATAATAATCATGATAATAAGAAAAATAATAATAATGATAATAATAATAATAATAACAATAATAATAATAATAACAACAATAATAATGCTAATGAATGGAAAATTAGGAAATTGCGACAGCTATGGTTTGCCTTTTTGAAGTGAATCCTTCCAATGCACTGTCTCCAATCATTCAATAATGTTACATTGGTTTTGATGATGTGTAAAATATTATTTTCTATAGATTAATTCAGTTATCTTATGTTTAGAGCGAAGATAAACTGCAAAAATTATGTAATTCAGTCTATTTGATTCTAGTTTTCACATCATGTATGTTTGGCCTCTGTCATATCTTCAGATCAGTTTTTCAGCGGGAGATAATGAAGATTTCAGTCGTTTGCTGTGATTCACCTGCTGTTTTGTAATTCATTTCCATATAACATTCATAATCTGCAATTAGAAACATGTTTGGATGAAGTATTATTATTGTTATTTTAAATCTTTCTTAAGGACACTATACAATACGGCCCATATGTAAACGAAAATATACAAAGGTACAGAGTGTGTTGCATAAAGAATAATATTATGTGAATGTCTCCTTTGGGAATCCATAAAGTATCTGCCTTTTGGAGCTGTTCGCTATTTTCAGTATTATTATTATTATTTAAGTAGGACACTATTTATTTTGATCTAGGTCCTATTATTTATTTTGATGCTGAATTGACCAAAGAGAATTCAAAGCACTACTGCCCTTTTTTTAAATGAAAAAAGGAATACTGAATGTTGTCTTTATTATATCGCAAGAGCGTACAACAACATATACAGTAATGCTAAGAGCTATCTGTAAATGCTAGTTAAGAATCTGGGATTAAAAGTGTAAATTATGCACTTGTCTGACAGGTTAATAAATCGATAAAGTGACATTTGCAGATTCTGAAATTGCAGATTCGACACGATTTACTATTGACCGATGAGATGACATGGATAGGCACAGCAGCAGTTCTCATCGTACAGTCTGACAGCAGCGAGGATGTGAATTAAGATTGAGATTAAAAGAGCCTTTATTGGTCCCACATTGGGGAAATTTCAGTGTTGCATCACCAGGTTACAGTAGGAATGAGGAGTACAAGATAAATGAACTCGATACTAAAATAAAATAAAATCTCAAACTTTAGCACAGTTATTGGTTATTATCGTTATACAGATGTAATGGCATGTACAGGTTCAGCAGTTCTCATTGTACAGTCTGACAGCAGCAGGGAGGAAACACCTGCAAAACGTTTTATTATAATAATACAAGAGAGAAACTACCGGGTAATTTTGTCTCCTGTTCTGTCTCCAGCCCTCCTGCCACAGCCCCCGCCCCCCTCCGTCTCTTCAGCAGCTGCCTCCTGTCCCGACACCCCCGAGCGGGACCGTCCCACTCCGGCCCGCTGATGTCCCACGCAGAGGGGGCCGCCGCGCTCTTCCCACAGCCTCCCTGGCAAATCCAACAGCTCCGGACGGCCAAGAGGGGCACGGAGTATCAGCCCAAGAACATCAAACGCAAACGCACCCACGGCTGGATCAAGAGGTGCAGCTCGAGGGGGGGCATCGAGGTCCTGCTGCGGAGGATGCTGAAGAGGAGGAAGTCTCTGAGCCACTGAGGAAGGTCTGGGAGTGAGGAGAGACCAGACTGTGGGGACTACAGGGGGTCTGGGTTAAGGACAGTGATACTACAAGAAAGGTTCTGGAAGATTCAGGAAGAGGGGAGCTGAAGGGGAAAGCGACACTGGAAAAAAATGATTAAAAATGTGGTAGTTATTGCTTGAATCAAGGGTTTTTATCCTAATTTTAGTACATTCTGACTTTGTGAAGACAGGATTCTCCAATGGGGCAAAGCCATTTAGTTTTATTTGAAGAACTGTTGCTTTATTTTCTCGTTCCAAAGGGAGACATTTCTTGTGTCTTTTTAAAACAAGATGATTTTGCTTTGTCCTGTTGGAGAATCTTGTCAGAATGTGCTCATATTAAGAAAAGAAATGTGAGCAATTTTGGACTTATTTTTTGTCACTTTTTGGCGTACCTTAATCTATATCATAAGTGTGGCTTTTTACTTTCTGTCGAATATCACATTTGACGCGTTTAATCCAATTTACTGCATCATTTCTTTTTCAGCGTTGTCTGATAAAAGGTTAAACTGGGTTATTTCTGAGGCGAACAACAGTTTCATATCAAGAAAAACGTTTTTAATTTGACATAATTGAATCTTGACTATAGTCTGAGCATGTAATGACTTTTCCATCACTGCAAGAACTCGGTCGATAATAATTACAACATTATTCTGTACTTTTTCTGTGATATATATTGTAATTTCAGGACTATAGGCTGCTATTTTTTTCTATTTATATAGCGATGTAATGTAATATTAATGGACATCAAGTTTCAGCCACTACAGGACAACGGTGAAACTGTTAAATCCTGTTGTGTCCAGTTAAAACAGTCGTCTCTCTGCTACATTACAACATGAAAACCTGCGGCTTTTATTCAAGCGTGGCCTCTATGTGGACAACATTGATTTTCTTTTCAAATGTAGGTGGTGCGGCTTATAGTCCAGAAAGTATGATACATAGCAAATGTACATGAGAATACTGCCGTTGTGACTTTAAGACTTTACTATGATGCTTTTATGAGGCCAATAAATGACTGAAAATAATTCAATACCCATTGGTCTTGTAGCAGGTTATCGCCTATGGACCAATGGTTCCTATGTTTACATTACATTTACATGTGTTCAAACTGCTCTGATGTGACGAGACTGCTTAGGAGACGACAGTGACCAAACCCCAGATTAGAGGGGTTCATTAATGTATTATATTGAGTTTGTTGTGAATAGGTGTAGATTTACAGAGAACCGATGGAAGATGATTGACGATAACGATGGACACTAAAATTCTCAGTGAACCAAACTTTTGGTGGACACTGTAGTTTCTATGACAGCTGAGGAAGAGCTGTTTTTGTTAACATTGAGGTCAATGGGGAAATTCAGGGAAGCACCTGGTGGGTTTAGTCTGCTGTAGCCTGGGTGGTCGAGCATTATGCTGGGCCCGGGTCAATCTCGCAATCATGGATCTATAATGTTACTACATTACACGTCCATGAATAAGGCCAGGGCCGAAGTTATAAAAAATCCCAACAGCACACTCTACAGGACAATATCAGTATTGCAACGTAAATTACACTTAGGTTTAGTTACATATTGTTTCACATAGGTTACAAATACATATTGTTTGTTTTTGAGCTTTGTAAATGTAAATAGCCTAAAGTAAGGGTTAGGGTTAGTAAAGTAAAATAAGCTGTCTTATTACTAAAATATGTCATTTTGTAACATTCTCTGTAAGTCGCTTTGGGATGTGTCACTTTCTGTCTGAAAAAACTGATCTTAAGAAAAAAAAAAAAACATGCTTTTGATAATTAGTGGTAGAACCACCTGCACGAAGTAACATGTAAGTTATATTACAGGTGTCATTTAACCAAAATGAGTGGAAATTATAATATCGTAAACGACGTCATTTCAAACCGGACTGTAAATATTAATAATGATGTCATAGCTACGAACCTAACCACTATTTCACTTTTATATTATATTTCATCAAAAGAAACGTTAAAGCCGTAAAAACGTCACAAAAGTCGCAGAGAGTGGTTGTTTTGATCACATTTGCGCTGGGGGATAGTTTTGTTACGCAACCAACTCTCGTCCAATCACAACCCAGCTTTTCCCCTTTCCTCTGTGCGCTCTGACCAATCACAGTCGCCCATACTGGCTCGTCGCTTCCCATCCTCACAACGCGAACAACAAAGATGGCGCGCGCCCTCACAGCAGCCAAAGGACGCTACACTCACTGACCCTCTTCCTGTCAAATAAATCCACAGGGACGCGCCTTTTGGGCTGGATTTGAGCTTTTGGACCACAGTAAACCTCACCTGGCCGTCGGTAGAGAGGTGTCGTATTCGCAAAGAGCGGGAAAACTTGTAAACAAACCGGTTTCTTGGCAGCGACAAAAATACTAACCGTTAGCTAGCTGCACGGGCTCGGCTAGCTGTTAGCTCCAGCGCTAGCATCGCAGTTAGCCCTCATGCTGCTTGGATCATAATAATAAACTCCAGAAGCTAAACGCGCATCAACATGGACAAGGTAAGGACGTGATGAGTGTAGAATTGTATTTATATTGTGACAAAATAATACACCCGGCGACAAACGGTCAGTGTTCGGCCAGTGCTTGTAATGCTAGCAGTTGTTGTAAGCTAGGTTCTCATTAGACAGCACCCTCTCTGTGTGAAGCAGTGCGGTCAGACTGTACGATGAACATTTCTGGCCTGTACATGTCATTCGTCCGCAGTAATGACCTCCAATAGTGTAGTAGCTGTGTTATTTTGTAAGAATAAGGTATCACAGGTTTGCCATGTGTCCATTGACGAATCTAGTCACTTTGCTAACGTTAGCTTAGAATCAGTCTGTCCATATTCGTATTCTGTGCTTGATTTAAACTAATGCTGCAGCTCGAGTCCTGACTTGAACCAGGAAGTATGATCACATTAGTCCAGTTCTCAGGTCTCTGCACTGGCTTCCTGTGGCTCAGAGAATATAGACTTCTAGGCCTCACTCCATGTTTGAGCCATATGAACCAACTCTGAGGAGTACAGGGACTGGCCTCCTGCTGGGACTCTGAGGAGCACAGGGACTGGCCTCCTGCTGGGACTCTGAGGAGCACAGGGACTGGCCTCCTGCTGGGACTCTGAGGAGTACAGGGACTGGCCTCCTGCTGGGACTCTGAGGAGCACAGGGACTGGCCTCCTGCTGGGACTCTGAGGAGCACAGGGACTGGCCTCCTGCTGGGACTCTGAGGAGCACAGGGACTGGCCTCCTGCTGGGACTCTGAGGAGCACAGGGACTGGCCTCCTGCTGGGACTCTGAGGAGCACAGGGACTGGCCTCCTGCTGGGACTCTGAGGAGCACAGGGACTGGCCTCCTGCTGGGACTCTGAGGAGCACAGGGACTGGTCTCCTGCTCGTGTCCAGAGATAGAACTAAACATGGGGAGGCTGCTTTTTAGATTCGTGCCGCTAACAATGAATCTCCCTGAAAATCTGAGACCGCCTTCTTCTCTGACATGTTTAAATCCAGGTTAAGGCAAGGCAAGTTTATTTATATAGCACAATTCATACACAAGGCAATTCAAAGTGCTGAACAAAATAAGAAAGCATTAAAATCATAAATAATCACAGAACATTAAAAAGAAAGATACAAATATAAAATCCCTCAGTTGTAGCACAGCTAAACAGAACTGTCTTTAACCTGGTTTTAAACATTGTCAGAGAGGAGGCCTGTCTCACCCAATGTCAACCCATTTCTCTTTAGCTGTGCAGACAACTAATTGATTGATTGATTATTTATTTGAGCATTTTGCAAACGTATTTTTTTCATTATTACAAGATTACACTGTTGTAAAGTAGTAACTGAAATATTTAATATTTGTATCTTTTTTTTTAATGTACTGTGATTATTTATGACATGAATGCCTTGTATCTATCTTGCCTTGTGTATGAATTGTGCCATACAAATAACCTTTCCTTGGCTTACATATTTTGCTTATATGGTTTTTATCTTATTAAAGTAGGTATTGAGCAACTGTGAAGCATTGTTGCCCCATCATGTCTGTCAATGTATCAAACACAAGTCTTGAGTGGTTACAAATGACAGAAACATAGCATCAAAGTAAGATACATTAAAGCCGTATATTTCATTAGTGTTGTAGATTTGTAGTTAATGTTTTCAATGTAATTTGTAGCATATAGAATTGAATGTTTTAGATCAGGGGTCTCAAACCGGTTCCAGAAAGGGCCATGTGGCTGCAGGTTTTACTTCCAACAGTTCCAAACGGAGCAGGAGCACAGATGACTCCACCCATTTCCTCAAATCTTCAGCTTAAAACTGGACTCACCTGAGGAAATGGGTGGAGTCATCTGCTCTCCTGCTCCGTTTGGAACTGTTGGAAGTAAAACCTGCAGTCACACGGCGCTTTCTGGAACCGGTTTGAGACCCCTGATCTAAAACATTCAATTCTATATGCTACAAATTACATTGAAAATATTAACTACAAATCTACAACACTATTGAAATATACGGCTTTAATGTATCTTACTTTGATGCTATGTTTCTGTCATTTGTAACAAGACTTGTGTTTGACTGACATGATGGGGCAACAATGCTTCACAGTTGCTCAATACCTACTTTAATAAGATAAGATGCCTTTTGACTAATGCCTTTTCAAAATGGCATTAGTTGCATGTTCTCTTCTCTCTGCGTAGACCTAAGTAAAGAAGCTGATTATTGAAGCGTTTCTGAGCCGGGTCCTGTTGTGTTGTGATTGTTTATTGTACTTCTCTGTAGAATATTATGATGTTCGACGCACCACTACATCCACTACTTTATAACACTGCAGGGCATTCAAAAACTAAACATGTACCTAAAATGTGTCTTGGGTGTGGGTGTTGTTTCTACCGATATCTTTAACAGTGTAGAAAAACTTGTAGCTATTTATGGATAAAGGAAGAGTCATAAATGTACATGTTTAATGATCCTTTAATAATGTAATGTGACCCCAGGCTGGGGCTAAAACACCCCTATGCTGTGGCGTGTCATAAACCGACATGTTGGGTCAAAGTTGTAACTCAACTTGCCAAGTTAAAAATATCCCAAAGTTGACTGGGTTCACTAACTGTTCTTTTAAGTGTAATAAATATGGTCCTCTGTCATTACCCTGTCGAGAGCCTGCAGTTCCCTTTAAATCGAGAATATTTCTAAATATGTAGTTCTTTGGCCGCCTCAGTCAGAGCAAAGAGTATAAAGAACCAAGAGGCAGAACCATTGTTACCAACTGTCACAGAATACAGTGACTATTGACGGTTCGGCTACAGGTCCAAGTCAGTGTTTTAAGGAGAATGAATAGTTCACTAGTTTTCCTAATATTGCTATAAACTAAAATAAACTGGGTTGAATAATGCACATCAAAAAATGACTTCTGTTCAAGCACAAATACATTTATTTACACACATACAGCAAATGAACCACGGCTCTTTGTGACGCAGCACTCACTGTAGCTGAAACAATGTCTTCATAAAAAATATACTTTGTTAAACTCCAGACTGATGTAGATGTATTCAAGGAGTCAGCACAGTTTTACTACAGCCCCTGGCTTTAAAGTACAAATATTATCAGTTTAATATTATGGCTTCAGCAAACAAATGAAAAAATCACATGAGCCTTATGGTCCTGTTTGTAAGTAAGTAATCTTTATTTATATACAGTCTTTCACAGACCAAAGTCAAAAAGCGGTTTACAATTGTTATTTTTTGAGCATTTGTCTCACTCCACACAGAGATTTGACGTTGATATTAGTTCCCTTCAATATCGAATACAAATCTGCTTCATGACGCATACCTCTCTGTGTCTTTGTGAATCTATGAAATGCTTTTGATTAGTTGTACTTTGGCTGCAGTTGACGGCAGAATACTGTTTATACATAGTGTTATTGTATATGATATCGCTATGGTAACCAGGTTTCTCACTTTTTCCCACTGGGTTTTTTAAGAGTTTTTCCTTGTCGATGCAGGAGGGTCTTGTTGGACAGTTAGTGTCCAACAGAAAGGATTGGTGATGATCAGGACACTTTAGCATTCTTCAACATGTATGGACATTTTCTTCTGTGTGTGCTTTATACTGTATTCTTCATGTGTTTTAACTGTTGATTCTCTGACCTGTGTTGGTGATTTCAATGGTTTTGTTAAGTCCTCTGAGATGACTTCTGTTGTGACCTAGGGCTATACAAGAATAAATTGTATTGTGTATTGTATTGTATTGTAACCGTCTCTGGTTCAGTCCAAAATGGCGATTGCGCTGTAGTCAAAACTGCAGCAGAGTTTCGCCTCTTGTTATCTCTTCTGTTTGGTCAGAATCTAACCACCGTGCTGGGATGGAATGATTAAGGCTTTTATGACTGTCTATGAAAAAACTGCGTCATAATGATGTACTTATCACTCTTATTATTCTAAACATAGAAACATGACCTTCTCCATGTCTCTTCTCCTCCACAGGCCGACTTCTTAAAAGGACTCCCAGTCTACAACAAAAACAACTTCAGCAGATTCCACGCCGACTCGGTCTGCAAAGCATCTGTGAGTGGTCACTTTTCAACAACAATGATCCATAATCCGTATTTATTACCAAACCAAACAACGTCTTCTTGTTCACGACAGAACCGAAGGCCGTCGGTGTATCTGCCCACGCGGGAATACCCCTCAGAGCAAAGTAAGAACTCAGAACTTTCTCATGTGATCGGAACAGGACGTGATGTGAGGTTCAACTGTCTGCATCAGTGATGTCCAAGGAGCTCTAGTCTACGTACTAGGCCCAAAGCAAGTAGATATCGTCAAACAGTTATAAGATACATACAGACAATAAAGCATACCCTGAGGAGAGAGAGGGAGACTGGAAAGAGGGAGACTGGAGAGAGGAAGACTGGAGAGAGGAAGACTGGAGAGAGGGAGACTGGAGAGAGGGGGACTGGAGAGAGGGAGACTGGAGAGAGGGAGACTGGAGAGAGAGAGGAGAGGAGAGAGAGAGGAGAGAGAGAGGAGAGAGAGAGAGAGAGAGAGGAGAGAGAGAGAGAGAGAGAGGAGAGAGAGAGAGGAGAGAGAGAGGAGAGAGAGAGAGGAGAGAGAGAGGAGAGAGAGAGAGGAGAGAGAGAGAGGAGAGAGAGAGGAGAGAGAGAGGAGGAGAGAGAGAGGAGAGAGAGAGGAGAGAGAGAGAGAGAGAGAGAGGAGAGAGAGAGGAGAGAGAGAGGAGAGAGAGAGGAGAGAGAGAGAGGAGAGAGACCGAGGAGAGAGACCGGAGAGAGAGAGAGGAGAGAGAGAGAGGAGAGACAGAGGAGAGAGAGAGAGGAGGAGAGAGAGAGAGGAGAGAGACCGGAGAGAGACGGGAGAGAGACGGAGACGGGAGAGAGACGGAGACGGGAGAGGGGAGAGACCGGAGAGAGAGAGAAGAGAGAGAGAGAAGAGAGAGAGAGGAGAGAGAGAGAGGAGAGAGAGAGAGAGGAGAGAGAGGAGAGAGAGAGAGGAGAGAGAGAGAGGAGAGAGACCGAGGAGAGAGACCGGAGAGAGAGAGAGGAGAGAGAGAGAGGAGAGACAGAGGAGAGACAGAGGAGAGAGAGAGGAGAGAGAGAGAGGAGAGAGAGAGGAGAGAGAGAGGAGAGAGAGAGAGGAGAGAGAGAGGAGAGAGACCGAGGAGAGAGACCGGATGAGAGAGAGAGACCGGAGAGAGAGAGAGACCGGAGAGAGAGAGAGACCGGAGAGAGAGAGAGGAGGAGAGAGAGGAGAGAGAGAGAGGAGAGAGACCGGAGAGAGACGGGAGAGAGACGGGAGACGGGAGAGGGGAGAGACGGAGAGAGACGGAGACGGGAGAGGGGAGAGACCGGAGAGAGAGAGAAGAGAGAGAGAGAAGAGAGAGGAGAGAGAAGAGAGAGAGAGAGGAGGAGAGAGAGAGAGAGAGGAGAGAGAGAGAGAGAGAGACGAGAGAGAGAGGAGGAGAGAGAGGAGAGAGAGAGAGGAGAGAGAGAGAGGAGAGAGACGAGGAGAGAGACGAGGAGAGAGGACCGAGGAGAGGAGAGGAGAGAGAGAGAGAGGAGAGAGAGAGAGGAGAGAGAGAGAGGAGAGAGAGGAGAGAGAGAGAGGAGAGAGACCGAGGAGAGAGACCGGAGAGAGAGAGAGGAGAGAGAGAGAGAGAGAGAGAGAGGAGAGAGAGAGGAGAGAGACCGGAGAGAGAGAGGAGAGAGAGAGAGGAGAGACAGAGGAGAGAGAGAGGAGAGAGAGAGAGGAGAGAGAGAGAGGAGAGAGAGACCGGGAGAGAGACGGGAGAGAGACGGAGACGGGAGAGGGGAGAGACCGGAGAGAGAGAGAAGAGAGAGAGAGAGGAGAGAGAGAGAGGGAGGAGAGAGAGAGAGGAGAGAGAGAGAGGAGAGAGAGAGAGGGGGGAGAGAGGGGAGAGAGACCGGAGAGAGACGGGAGAGAGACGGGAGAGGGGAGAGAGACCGGAGAGAGACGGGAGAGAGAGAGAGGAGAGAGAGAGAGGAGAGAGACCGGAGAGAGACGGGAAAGAGGGGGAGAGGGGGAGACCTTGCCACATGCTCCTGGCCGAGAGGATCTGCAGAACAAGAGACCCCATAGTTAACAGACCCCTGAAGATGTTTACCAGCCGTGATGTCAAGGGGGTCAGAAAAGGAGACTGAAGAGGTGGGCCCCCAGGGAGGGGCCAGACCATGAGTCCTTAAGTCCATCCCACCAACTGCTGAATCTGTGTACTTCATCCACTCTCTACAACTTAATCGTTTTAAAACTGAAAACCATAGACCCCAAAAGTCCCAGTTCTAACCCCAGTGTCTTTTCTCAGTCATTGTCACAGAGAAGACCAACATCTTGTTGCGGTACCTCCACCAACAATGGGACAAAAAGGTGAGAACACTGAAAGTACCATTTAGTGTGAAATGGAAAACAATTACTGTATTAAGATTATTTATATTATTTATCTTTATAACTTGTGTCTTGAGCCAAAGAACATTCTTAGTTTATAACTTCCTGTTATTTACAATAGCAATAAAATAGTTTTGATTATTGATGAATTTAGAAAACTGAGCATTGGTAAGAATAAACTCAACTCAAACATGCATCTAATACATTTATCACATTATTTTATTGACTGTTTTCGATCTCACACTAAAGACATTTAACTATAGAAATAATCATCTACACTTTTATATATAAATTAACATGTTTCGTTATTTTTAGATACTATTGTTTCATTCCTTATTACTAATAATAATTTTCAATACATTATTATTTAATGTATATTTCAAGGGGCAGATAGTGAGGAATAAAGGGTAAATAAATAAAATAAATTGTGTCTCAAAAAAAGATGAGGTTTGGTTCCATAACTGTTTTTATTTTGTCTGTCTGTATGTATTGTTTTTTTAATCTAACCTCGAGTCGTTTCCAGTTGAATTCAAGCCCGTCTCACATTTTTGAGAAGCCCGGTCCTGGTTTTGAGACTCTGCTCTTGTCTTTTTGCAGAACACTGCTAAGAAGCGGGAGCAGGAGCCGGCGGAGGGCGACAACACGGCCCCTCCCTGTAAAATGGCGCGCACGGACAGTCGGGAACTCGGCGAGGACTCGTGAACCCGGGCCGCAGTCTGGGGCCATCACCCACAATGCACCAGTGTCGGAGCGCCGTGTTCAGCAACAGAGAGACGCCGCCCTCCAATCACAGCACCCCCAGAGTCTGACGATTTCTCTGTTCAATTGCAAAATCTCACGACATGACCCTCTCCCCTGTTTTTTCAAGATTTTATTTCACATTTTATTCCCTGGGTTCTGGGTTGCGTTCATGTCCTAGGATCGGATGGTGTGGTAACGGAGACATGGGCAGGTGTGTCAAAACGACCCGCTAGTTAACCCGCCTCGCAACCTAGTCATTTTCCCCCAAATATACAGATTTACAGGTCGTTTCTCACATTTTTTACAGTGCTTTTTGCGTCATGGTTTGGATTTTAGCCCCACCCTGCTCGAAAGGAAAACGCATAAATATCTTTGCCAGTGTTCCTTATTGCTCCACGTGGGAGAAAATCCATCTCTCTCTTTGGTCTCTCTCCCTTTCTCTCTGGTCTCTCTCTCTTTCTCTCTGGTTTCACTCTGGTCTCTCTCCCTTTCTCTCTGGTTTCACTCTGTGGTCTCTCCCTTTCTCTCTGGTCTCTCTCCCTTTCTCTCTGGTCTCTCTCTCTTTCTCTCTGGTCTCTCTCTCTTTCTCTGGTCTCTCTCCCTTTCTCTCTGGTTTCACTCTGTGGTCTCTCCCTTTCTCTCTGGTCTCTCTCCCTTTCTCTCTGGTCTCTCTGGTCTCTTTCTCTCTGGTCTCTCTCCCTTTCTCTCTGGTCTCTCTGGTCTCTTTCTCTCTGGTCTCTCTCTCTTTCTCTCTGGTCTCTCTCTCTTTCTCTCTGGTCTCTCTCCCTTTCTCTCTGGTCTCTTTCGCTTTCTGCTCTCTTTGGTCTCTGTGGTCTGCCTCTTTCTATGGTCTCTCTGGTGTCTCTCTTTCCCTCTGGTCTCTCTCTTTTTCCGTCTAGCCCATACAGATACATAAACGTTGAGTTATCTAGTTTTTTGCACGACAAAAACTGGTAAAAAAAATATAATCTGGTACATTTTAAGCATCTTTAAGCAAGAATCGTATTATTTCAAAGGCAGGAGCAGTACAAAGTGAGAAAATTGACAAATATGTACGAGAACTCATCCTATATCTAACCTAAATCGAGCAATTTTTGTTTTGTTTTTTACTTTCTGTCCTTCTGAAATGTTGGGACATGAACGCAACCTTCTCCCAGTGAAGCTACTTTCTGAGCAGCAAAGCACTGAGGTAAGACACTGCTTTATACGTGATAAATGTGTCTATCGTGCGTCCAAACGATCAGCTTAGGCTCCAATCAAACTGCCACATCCATCGCGTCGCGGGAAGGGGGAAAGGTGTCTTGCCCACGGACACGGCGGCAACGAGGAGACGCGCCGTTCTTTGTACATGTTTGCGTTTCTGTAAAGTTGTGTTGGATAAAAGTAAAAAAAAATGGTGTCCGAACTAATGGCATTTCTCAAAAAGAGCTTTAGTTTTACAGTGGAGTCGTGACTGATCGTGGTCCTGTACAGTAAATGTAAAAAACAAATGTTCAGTTTTGTCCTAATGCCTTAAAAGTAAGAGCTGATTCTGTTTTTATTTTTCTTATTTTTTAGAGTGTTCTTGGTTTACAATGTTGTTTTAAGAGGAGATGCCGAAGAGATGGATTCATTTAGGGTCAAACGTCTAAAAACATTCAAATAGTCATCGCCGTGGTGTTGAAGGGCAAGACGTGGAGGCAAGATGAAAATAAATTATTGTGTTGAACAAAAATTATGCCATGAATTGATTATTTTCCCCCAAAAACCAATCGTAAAACATTTCATATTTAACTTTTGAGCCCTGGAATCCGGGTGTTTCGTTCTGCAGGCTTTGTATCATAAGAAAAGTTCACTACATAAGATTTCTGGTGAGACTTGTTTACTAAACCCAAGTCTGAAACGACCATAAGTTGCTGTAAAGACAGAAAAAACCTGCACTGGGAGAGAAAACCCCCCTCATCATATTGTGCAAACTGTCACTAACTGTATCCCACAACTTTAACCGTTTATACAATCTTAAAATCACCACATATTAGTTTATTTCAGGGGTCTCCAACCTGTAGCTCGGGAGCCACCAGTAGCTCGCCACCCCCTTCCAGGTAGCTCGCCAAAGTATCTAGAAGTTAACAAACCAAATAATGTACTTATAATATTATATAACATTTCAGGTGGTTTTATTCATTCTCCTTATTTATTATCGTAACTGCACATACTTTGTCATTAGTAACATGTGATGATAAATAATAACTCGATATCAGACTAGTACACACCAATATTTCACCAATTTTTTTCCTCAGGGCCGCTTAAAGAAGTAGCTCTCTGCCTTTATTGTCAAGGGAAAGTAACTCTCTGGGTGAAAAAGGTTGGAGACACCTGGTTTATTTCCTCTGTCTGGGATGAAACGCTGAGATTTGACTGAGTCCTTTTCAGTTTCCTGCTTGCAACATTTTGAGGAAATATTGAATTGCAAAATTTGTTTTGGACTGTGGTGACATGAAATGCAGATCTCTCTGGTCTCTTTCTCTGTGGTCTGTCTCTTTCTATGGTCTCTCAAGTGTCTCTCTCTCTTTTTCTTGGGTCTCTCCCTTTCTCTGGTCTCTCTTTCTGCTCTCTTTGGTCTCTGTGGTCTATCTCTTTTTATGGTCTCTCTAGTGTCTTTCTCTCTCTGGTCTCTCTCGCTTTCTGTGGTCTCTGGTCTCTCTTTCTCTCTGGTCTCGCTTTCTCTTGGGTCTCTCCCTTTCTCTGGTCTCTGTCTATTTCTATGGTCTCTAGTGTCTCTCTCTCACCCTTTCTTTCTGGTCTCTCTCTGTGGTCTCTCCAGTCTCTTTCTCTTGGGTCTCTCTCCCTTTCTCTCTGGTCTCTCTCTCTCTCTTTCTCTTGGGTGTCTCTCCCTTTCTCTCTGGTCTCTCTCGCTGCACTAAAGCGCTCTTCTCAGTTACGTCTTTTGAAACGTAGCTACCACTTCTGCTACACTTCTCTTCCCTCTCCTTTTGTTTTAAGACCTGTTAATGTTTGCTTGTCGTAGCTAACAACGCATTAGCTTAACTTACCAAGTCAAGACTCTTTTATCCTTTTATTTATATTCCAGATCTATTATTTTATTTAATAATTGAGCCCAACAAAGCATACAATAAATAAACAAGCTAAAATTGAGTTAGGTTTTATAGCTTTTACCCCGAAGTTATAAACGACACAAGATGGCCGCCATGATAGACCCTATATCTCTCTTGCTGGGTTCGTGCTCTTTCCCTTCAACGCCTCATCGATCAGTTTCATTTTGTTTCTCTGCCACGCCGCTAAAGTGCGTATGACATCACAGCGGTGTAAAATACATTGTTTTACTCCAACAAAGCTGCAGCTTCTGCGGGAAAAACGGGAAAATGTATTGAAATTTACAGGAAGTAAAGTTCTCAAGTTGATGACATCACGCTGCGGACCGAGAACTCATTCACAATTTCCAACAAAATCGTTCGCTAACTCTTTTAGATTAGCCCTCACTAATTAGCAGCTAATTAAATGCTACCTAGCGTACCCTGACCCACATGGGAAAGTGTCAGTTAGTAGTTAGATGTTGAATAAGGACTAAAAAGTGCTTAATAAATACAATGTAAGAGCTAATTAACCATAAATTATACACTACTTAGCTTTTAAGTAGTGTGGGTTGAGCTAAACTGTGACCATGCATTCAAATGAGTCGGTCGTCAGTGGTTTGGGCCTTTCTGAGTAGAGTTTGCATGTTCTCCCTGTGTCTGAAGCCGCTCCAGTTTCTCCTGCCACTAAAACCGTAAACTCGCTCCTTGTCGTTCCCACTCAGTCTCCTCGTCTGGGCCCAGGACTCCAGGACTTTAAATGATGAAGCTATTTAAAACCAATGCGTTCTATGACTGCAGAATTAACTGATAATATTTATGAATAGTATTTTTGATCACACAACTCATCTCTATGAAGGTGGTCTCCAGGGGAATCACTGGAGGTTTGATTTTGGTCAAATATATACTGGGGAAAAAAATAATCTGAACGCCAAAATCACTCCATGAAAAGAATAATCAACCAGCTAATAAATGATCGAAGTAACCGTGGACTACAGCCCGAGTGTGATGTCATCAATCCCAACCAGGAAGTACGATTGTAAAAGCAAACCGGGGTGAAATGTGTAATATCTTTCGCAAAAAAAATCTTGTATATACTGTAAGCACTAGTCTTCAAACTTGTCATACGCACTTTCCCATTCTGCATGTGGGCTTCTTCTCCGTGTTTCCGTTCTCTCTGACCCGTAGCCACCGTCACACGTATGTTAGGGAGCTGCTAATAACGTGTTTGTATCGTGTACATTTGTACAGGTGAATATTCAGGGCTTGGTTTCTTGGTCTCGTCTTCCCGTTCATCTCCAGCGATAATAATTAAACCACAAACGTCCTGTGGAAACCAAAGCATGGACGCCACATCCACTTCGACTCCATCGTTCTGGACGTTCTTCTAAAGCATGTTTCGTTCATGTTTCCTTGTTTTAGGCAAATTAATAAATAATTTGAAATACAGACCGGTTTCACGCTTTCTCTGTACGGACTTTCTGCCGTTTCCAGCGCTTTCAAAAGTCGCTCTGAAACAGTTGTGTTTTTTTTTTACAAACGATATTTTTCTATCTGTAAATGTTATTACAGTACAGTGCTCATGGTTTTAAACTGATCCAGACCAGAGCAGACCAAACGGATCAAGCTGAAATCCACTGAAGAAACACTGTGTAAAATTTCGCGTACAAAATTTCACCCTGAACCAGAGCGGAGAAAATTGAACCAAGCTGACGTCTACCAGAGGAAGCAGATAATCTTCCTATAATAATTCCACCTCTGCTGCCATTGTACTTATTTACTATTGTTAGTAACTTTGGATGTGTTTCGAAAAGTGAGTCTTGTTTTGTCCTTTAGAGACACTCATCATCAAACACAATCATTTTTGGTATTATAGACCTGTTCAGAGTTTGTGATCAAATATGTTGTACAGCTTTTAAACGACAGTACAGTTTGATGTCCACTAGGGGGCCACACAATACTTTGGGCAACATTTTGGGAAGGAACAAAACCTCAAAATTCATCAATAATTGACACCATTTCTCTCTCAAAGGTTTGGGTTCAAGTGTGTTTAATAGCATTGTCCCGATACATTCACTTTCCACTTCATGTAGTAAAATAATTCAATAGAAAAAACTCAAAAGGTTAATAAAAATAGATTCTTTCCATGGTCACAGTGCGCAGAGGGTTAGACGGAGCTATTGCAGAAGAATCAAAATGGCTTCCTACAGGTGCAGAACAGAACGGAACATAACGAGGCGTGCAGGAAGCCACATGCACTGGAACAAAGAGTTAGCCTCCGAACAATACAAGGAATATATGTACGCTTTGGGAAGTTCTGTGGAGATTTTAAACATGATATATCAAACACAAACCCGGTCCTTAATGAGAAAACATGCACCAAAATAAGTCAAAGGTTGCTCAAAGTTGGGAAAAGGAATCATAATTTGAACACATTCTGACAGCCTTAAAACAAGATTTGCCAACGGGACAAAGCAAAATAATCTTGTTTTTAAAAAAGATACAAGAAATGTCTCCCTTGGAACGAGAAAATAAAGCAACAGTTCTTATAAAAAGACAAAATGGCTTTGTCCCATTGGAAAATCTTGCTTTGCCACAGTCAGAATCTGCTCAAAATAGGATAAAATCACTCCATTCAAGTCATTTTTACCTCAGATTTTAGCATTTTTTGCAGGTAGAAAGGTTAGACTTTTTGCCTGGTCGATCAAAAATGAAACTAAATTGAACTAAAAAGTGCCCTTACTCCAAAAAACTCTAACTGAAAACCTTTTGAATCAAGACTTTAAGGCCCAAATAATTATCACCTCTTCCGCTCCATAATTTCTCGATTTGACTGATTTTCGATAAAAATTCTGGAATATTTGGTTGATTTTGGTCCGATACATATTTTTGGGTAAGAAAGCCATAGAACCAACCAAGATTTGCGTCTACTTCACTTGCATTTCTTGTCTTTGCTCTATCTGATTCTCTGATCTGTGTTGACAAATCGACAACTTTGTAAACTCCTCCAAGATAATTACTGTTGCGGTTTAGGGCTGTACAAAAACCATGAATTGAATTGAAATCGCACCGAGCATTGGTTTGAATGGGCGTCATCTTCCCCGTCTACCGCTAGAGGGCGCCACAGTCACCGAACCCAGCTCTGGAGAAGCTTTCTGTTCGGTGGTGAAACGTCTAAAAGAAATCTCAAAGGTCAAAAAGGAACACAAACGTTGCGATTGATGCTAAGATGCTAACGAGTGTAAACTTTTGTACATAAAAACATTCAATTAAATATATTATGCAAACTTTTTTCCCTGTTACATTTCTGTTCCCAATTCAAAAACAGACCCAGAGTTGTGTTTTCCTCCCTCCATGCTGATTTGTTCTACTTAAGGACTTATTTTGACAGTTTGCTTCGACACAATTCCGGTCTTCCTCGCCGTAAAAAGTCGACACGGATCCAAACAAGTGTTGCCCGTGTCGACCTGGAACAATGGTTGGAAATGTTGGTGTGTTGTTTGGACCCGTGAGGCCAGAGGGAGAGAGACCAGAGAGAGAGAGACCAGAGAGAGAGAGACCAGAGAGAGAGAGAGACCAGAGAGAGAGAGACCAGAGAGAGAGAGACCAGAGAGAGAGAGACCAGAGAGAGAGAGACCAGAGAGAGACCAGAGAGAGAGAGACCAGAGAGAGAGAGACCAGAGAGAGAGAAACCAGAGAGAGAGAGACCAGAGAGAGAGAGACCAGAGAGCGAGACCAGAGAGAGAGACCAGAGAGAGAGACTAGAGAGAGAGACCAGAGAGAGAGACCAGAGAGAGAGACCAGAGAGAGACCAGAGAGAGAGACCAGAGAGAGAGAGACCAGAGCGGGACTAGAGGGTGAGCCCAGAGAGAGAGACCAGAAGGTGAGATCAGAGAGAGACCAGAGAGAGAGACCAGAGAGAGACCAAAGGGAGAGACCAGTGGGTGAGACAAGAGAGAGAGTCCAGAGGGAGAGACCAGTGGGTGAGACAAGAGAGAGAATCCAGAGGGAGAGACCAGTGGGTGAGACAAGAGAGAGAATCCAGAGGAAGAGATATCAGAGAGACAACAGAGAGAGAGACCAAAGAGAGACGAGAGACCTGAGTGAGACAAGAGAGAGAGATCAGAGAGAGACCAATGGGAGAAACCAGAGAGAGAGATACCAGAGAGAGAACGGAGCGAGACCAGAGGATGAGACCAGAAAGAGAGACCAGAGAGAGACCAGAGCGAAGCTAAATTTTAGGCAAAGTCACCAAGTTTTGTAGTCGTAGCAATAGTTGTGCCCCCCCCCCCCCCCCCCCCCCCTTTCTGCTTTCTGGTCTAGAGAGGGTAAGAAATGATGTCACATTCTAAAAAACAGATAAATGTTCCCAAGAAGAATTTTTTTTAAGAAGTAAAATGAGCACAAAGAATCACATCCAAACAGTATTTGTGTGAGACGGTGCTGGAGGCGTCATGCAGCAAACAGACTCCCACATTCAACAAACTTTACATTTTAGTGAAGAAGAAGAAGAAGAGGAAGAACGGGAGTAGAGCAGGACGCGGGGAACTCACCACGGCCCCCAGAGGAAACAGAACATTCAAACGTCCAAATATGGGCTACAGCGGGAAAGGTTGCTGTGTTGTTTGGACCCGTGTCGGCTTTTCAGGTAAGACAGGATTGGAGAGATGGAGCAGTTTAAAGCTGGGGGACCTAACTTTTCCGCCCTCTCATTAATAATACATACAAGATGGAGTCGTCAATCTAACTATAAAACTTGTAGCCAGACCGGCAGGTGAAAGCCAGATCCTGTCAGACCTAGGAAGCTAAGCAGGACAGGGCCTGGTTAGTGCTGTGATGGGAGACCTCTGGGATAACAGCAGGTGCCACAGTGGGGCGACTGCGGCTGTAAAGTGCCAAATTGTGGTTGTGTTCTTAGGCAAGACACTTCCCCCACATTAGAATGAGTCTGGTGTGTGTGTGAATGGTTGGTGGTGATAGAAAGGGCCAATGGCACAGACTGGCTGCCTCACTTCAGTGCAGTGAGCGCCAGGGCAGCTGTGGCTACTATTAGTACTGTATGTATGGAGTGAATACTGACATGTCTTTGAATGTACAAAAGGTGCTATATAAAACCAACGCACTATTATTATGCAAACTTGTAATAAAAACCAGTAACTATTTGAGGCTGAGAGCTGATTGGCTGATTCTCTTTTTCCTGTTTTGTCTGAATGTCTGTCTTATCTAAATATTTGAAGGAGCTAAAAAAACATCCATATGAAAACTAGGGATAGAAATAAACTGTTTTGAGAGCGAGGTTTGATTTCCAGTGGTTTGAAAGTTTGGTATCCCACAAGTTCAGAAGGTTCTTATAATACGACGAATGTGTAAATCAGCTCGAACAGCTTAAGTACCAGTGCTGGTTTCTTTACACGTTTGTCTTTTTAAAGTAGCAATATGTAAGATTTTCATGTCAAGTCAACATTAAAGGGCCCTAATCTGTCATAATATCAGAAAGTCTGTTACCCGGGCGCCAGAACTCACTGCATGGAGCTAATCTCACTGGTAAAGTACCATGTGGCGCAGAACTAAAAAAGGTCTCGTTATGATTCTCAAATCATTAACGACAAAACAAGGAATAAAACCAGGATTTCTATCTTTGTGAAAAAGGTGTTGGTTATAGATTTGTTGTTGACAAAACTCTATTCAGCTGTTATGGTCCCAGCTGGATTTGTCTGCATATCTGGCAACCTGAGTCAGGGAGAGTGGGAGAGGCTGCAGTACCACTTTTGGCCACATTTTTACATACTGCTCCTTTAAATGAATCAAGGAGACATAATGAACTTTACACGTTCGTTGTCCCGTGGATAAAGTCCCCCGCCTCCTGCTCTGCCACGTGTTTGTGTGTTTGTGTGTAGCGTCGCACATCCACACACACTGAAGCTTATTCTAGCTCCTGGCACCTGGAGCGTCCGAGTCCGCGCCTCTGTCTCTGTCTCTGTCCGTCTCGCTGGACGGCAGCTCCTCGTGGCCCTGCGTCCCATTAGCGCACACCACGCTAGCCTCAGCCTTCTTCCCGAACAGTTTCCTGGGGCTGAATGTCCTGCCGGGGGACTGAGACCGCTCCTGATTGGACGAAACCCCGGCGGCGGCAGAGGCGTTGGAGTTCGCTGCAGTCGTTGATGATGATGATGATGAAACTACAGGTGGGTCCTTCTTCACTTCGGGCGACTTGAGGAACTTGAGGAACCCCGGCAGTTTGGCCTCTCCCCCCGTGGGCGACTGGGCGGGCGACCGGGAGGCGCTGGACGAGGAGAACTTACCCTGGAGCGGGATGATCTGTTTGAGTTTCATTACGTTGTTGTTGCCCAGGAGGGAGCTGGGTCTCTTGGGCTTGTCTCCGGACGACCGTGCCTTGTCGTGGTGGTGCGGGTGGGACGGGTCGGAGGTCTTTGGGTCCGAGAGGTCGTGGGCTCGGGCTTCGGCCTGGAGCTCGGCCTGACGCTGGAGCTCCTCCTCCTCGCGGCGGCGCCTCAGCTGCTGCTGGAAGTGCTGCTGCGCCTGGAGCTCGTGTTTCTGAGGAAAAGACAAGTTTAGATCCGACTGACTGCATCTGGAAACAACCGCTGATCAGAGACGTTTCCCACCGTGGGAATAAAGGGTCTCTTAATCTCTTATAAAACACAGACGCACAATGTTTAAGCACGAGTCGGAAGATCAGGATCATTATCATGGATCTATAATAATAACTAGTTTATAGCTGTCCCACCCATGGCCACAGGGGGCGCTGTGGTACTGCAGACTGAATTCACGTGGGCTACCCAGAAAAATGTGTCACAGAACTCAATGCAAACTAAAACATCTGGACCTCAGCTGACAGAGAACCTGACAGAGAACCTGACAGAGAACCTGCAGCTTTCAGAAAGAACAGATTTTGTGGAGAGTTTAATGTCCCTTGTCATCCTGAACTTTTTTTCTTCTTAAATCCCTAATTTTCTTTAAATCCACACATTTATTGCACAAACTCTACTCTCTCCCGCTCTAGCGCCGCTCTGTGCATGTGCATGAGAGCCACACATGCGTATTTGGCGCAAAGCATCCTGGGAGCTCGTTTACTACGCAGAACCGGGAGGACCAGTCTGCTGATCTCCCGGTCTCCGTGAAGTCTCATGCGCTACTGAGCTCAAGCCATTGATTTGAAGAGGACGCCATCTTGGATCACCGGGGCTTGATCATTTCTTATTCATGAGTGAAATAACGTGAGATGAGCCTCATGTGATTTGCTCAGATTGCATGTAATAAACTGCCTTTAGGACCCAGCCGGCTCCTCACCTTGAAGGCTTCCCTGCGTCTGTATTCCAGCTTGGCCATCTCGTCGGCCACCCAGCCCGGGATGTCGGGGATGGCCACATGGATCACGTATTTCAGCAGGATGGCAAAGTGCTGCAGAAAGACCACACCACAATCACACACTGCAAAAAATGATCACATATGAGGTCATAAATGCTTAAATCGAGTGGTTTTTTAAATCTTTATCTGAAACATTTTGACTGTGTTAAAACAAGTTAAGTTAATTCAAGAACTGTTACTTCTCATTTCTCGTTCCAATGAGACAATTCTTGTAAATGTTTAAAACGAAAAAGATCATTTTGCTTGGCCCCAGTGGTAAATCTTGTTTTAAGGCAGTAACATTGTGCTCAAAACAAGATACGTTTTGCCATATTAGGGTATTTTTTCACATATTTTTCGTGGCGTTTTGTAGCGTTTGCGTTGGCGCGTCTGCAGCTCGGTACCTCCAGCAGGACGATAGAGATGATGGTCATCTCGGGGCTGATCCAGGGGAAGAGTCTCTGCAGCTGCCCACACTGACCAATCAGGTAACAGTTCACGATGATGGCGATCAGACCCATGGCCTCCATCGCCGTCTGAGCAGAGGAGCAGGAGAACACCAGCACGACATCAGCAAGACAGCAGCAAGACATCAGCAAGACATCAGCGAGACATCAGCGAGACATCAGCGAGACATCAGCGAGACATCAGCGAGACATCAGCGAGACAGCAGCAAGACATCAGCAAGACATCAGCAAGACAGCAGCAAGACATCAGCAAGACATCAGCAAGACAGCAGCAAGACATCAGCAAGACATCAGCAAGACATCAGCAAGACATCAGCAAGATATCAGCAAGACATCAGCAAGACATCAGCAAGATATCAGCAAGACAGCAGCAAGACAGCAGCAAGACATCAGCAAGACATCAGCAAGACATCAGCAAGATATCAGCAAGACAGCAGCAAGACAGCAGCAAGACATCAGCGAGACATCAGCAAGACATCAGCAAGACATCAGCAAGATATCAGCAAGACAGCAGCAAGACAGCAGCAAGACAGCAGCAAGACATCAGCAAGACACGAGCACGACATCAGCACGACATCAGCAAGACAGCAGCAAGACATCAGCAAGACACCAGCAAGACACCAGCAAGACATCAGCAAGACATCAGCAAGACATCAGCAAGACATCAGCAAGACATCAGCAAGACAGCAGCGAGACATCAGCGAGACATCAGCAAGACAGCAGCGAGACATCAGCGAGACAGCAGCGAGACATCAGCTAGACAGCAGCGAGACATCAGCGAGACATCAGCAAGACATCAGCAAGACAGCAGCGAGACATCAGCGAGACAGCAGCGAGACAGCAGCGAGACAGCAGCGAGACAGCAGCGAGACAGCAGCGAGACAGCAGCGAGACATCAGCAAGACACGAGCACGACATCAGCACGACATCAGCAAGACAGCAGCAAGACACCAGCAAGACACCAGCAAGACATCAGCAAGACATCAGCAAGACATCAGCAAGACATCAGCAAGACATCAGCAAGACAGCAGCGAGACATCAGCGAGACATCAGCAAGACAGCAGCGAGACATCAGCGAGACAGCAGCGAGACATCAGCGAGACAGCAGCGAGACATCAGCGAGACATCAGCAAGACATCAGCAAGACAGCAGCGAGACATCAGCGAGACAGCAGCGAGACAGCAGCGAGACAGCAGCGAGACAGCAGCGAGACAGCAGCGAGACATCAGCGAGACATCAGCGAGACATCAGCGAGACATCAGCGAGACATCAGCGAGACATCAGCGAGACATCAGCGAGACATCAGCGAGACATCAGCAAGACATCAGCAAGACATCAGCAAGACATCAGCAAGAGAGGAACGAGTTTAGAAGGATAAGAAGAAGAGTTCTGGGGTACAGTAGTGGTTAGAGCTTCTCAGCAAGAACCTCTGGGATTCGAACCCTGGTCACAAAATGGTAATTTATATATTGTATGTATGTTTATGTTGATGTTAATGATATTAGCCGTATCTCTAAATAAGCCGCAGGGATCTAGAAAAAGAAGTAGTAGTAAATATAGTATATAATAAGATATCATTTATAATATATTATTCATGCTTTCCATTGTAACTGAAAATACCCCCCAAAAAATAAAATAATGAATAAGGCCCAAACAATGTTACTGCATGTCCCTCATGACCCCCTGAAGCCCCGCCCACAGCCTCAGACCTGTCCCTGAAGCCCCGCCCACAGCCTCAGACCTATCCCTGAAGCCCCGCCCACAGCCTCAGACCTATCCCTGAAGCCCCGCCCACAGCCTCAGACCTGTCCCTGAAGCCCCGCCCACAGCCTCAGACCTATCCCTGAAGCCCCGCCCACAGCCTCAGACCTATCCCTGAAGCCCCGCCCACAGCCTCAGACCTGCCCCTGAAGCCCCGCCCACAGCCTCAGACCTGCCCCTGAAGCCCCGCCCACAGCCTCAGACCTGCCCCTGAAGCCCCGCCCACAGCCTCAGACCTGTCCCTGAAGCCCCGCCCACAGCCTCAGACCTGCCCCTAAAGCCCCGCCCACAGCCTCAGACCTGCCCCTGAAGCCCCGCCCACAGCCTCAGACCTGCCCCTGAAGCCCCGCCCACAGCCTCAGACCTTCCCCTGAAGCCCCGCCCACAGCCTCAGACCTGCCCCTGAAGCCCCGCCCACAGCCTCAGACCTGCCCCTGAAGCCCCGCCCACAGCCTCAGACCTGCCAATGAAGCCCCGCCCACAGCCTCAGACCTGCCAATGAAGCCCCGCCCACAGCCTCAGACCTGTCCCTGAAGCCCCGCCCACAGCCTCAGACCTGCCCCTGAAGCCCCGCCCACAGCCTCAGACCTGTCCCTGAAGCCCCGCCCACAGCCTCAGACCTGCCCCTGAAGCCCCGCCCACAGCCTCAGACCTGCCCCTGAAGCCCCGCCCACAGCCTCAGACCTGCCCCTGAAGCCCCGCCCACAGCCTCAGACCTTCCCCTGAAGCCCCGCCCACAGCCTCAGACCTGCCCCTGAAGCCCCGCCCACAGCCTCAGACCTGCCCCTGAAGCCCCGCCCACAGCCTCAGACCTGTCCCTGAAGCTCCGCCCACAGCCTCAGACCTGTCCCTGAAGCCCCGCCCACAGCCTCAGACCTGCCCCTGAAGCCCCGCCCACAGCCTCAGACCTGTCCCTGAAGCCCGCCCACAGCCTCAGACCTGCCCCTGAAGCCCCGCCCACAGCCTCAGACCTGCCCCTGAAGCCCCGCCCACAGCCTCAGACCTGTCCCTGAAGCCCCGCCCACAGCCTCAGACCTGTCCCTGAAGCCCCGCCCACAGCCTCAGACCTGCCCCTGAAGCCCCGCCCACAGCCTCAGACCTGCCCCTGAAGCCCCGCCCACAGCCTCAGACCTGCCACTGAAGCCCCGCCCACAGCCTCAGACCTGTCCCTGAAGCTCCGCCCACAGCCTCAGACCTGTCCCTGAAGCTCCGCCCACAGCCTAAGACCTGTCCCTGAAGCCCCGCCCACAGCCTCAGACCTGCCACTGGCCGATGTTCTCCACCCTCTGTCCGAAAGGCCGCTGGAGCCCGGAGCAGAGCTTGAGGGCGTCGCTGCGGATCTCGATCACGTTGTTGATGAGGGCGCACATGGCGGCGAGCGGGAACGCCGACGAGAACAGCACCACGTACCCGAACTGGATAAACATCTCCTGGTAATCCTGCAGCGTGTCCTGGAGAGAAAGGACAAAAACAACTAAACTAAACTCTAAGATTCTGCTTCACTTTTATCGCTGCTCCACTGAAAGTTTGCTGGTTGGTTCTGCGAAATCACAGACAAAGAAAGAAGAGAGAGAGACCAGAGAGAAAGACCAGAAATAGACTAGAAACAGACCGGAGAGAGACCAGAGAGAGAGAGACTAGAAAGAAAGACCGGAAAGAGAGACAGGAGTGAGACACCAGAGAGAGACAGAGAGAGACCAGAGAGAGAGAGAGAGAGACTAAAAAGAGAGACTAGAAAGAGAGACCAGAGAGAGACAGAGAGAGAACAGGGACAGAGAGACCAGAGAGAGAGACTAGAGAGAGACCAGAGAGAGAGAGAGACCAGAGAGAGAGAGAGACCAGAGAGAGGTGCTCCACTCTGAAAGAGGACTGAGATCTGTCTGTTCTTTATAATCCAAACTCTTAAGAATAATCAGTGACTCTTCTGGTCCCTGGTTTTTATTTTATTTACCCTTTATTTAACCAGGAAAAATCCCATTGAGATTAAAAACCTCTTTTTCAAGGGAGTCCTGGGGGCATTATCTGTGTGTATGCACTGATTTATGGTAAAAACCTCGTAGGTCTGCATGCAGCTCTCGATCTCAGCCTGAGTCAGGGCCACGGTCTTGGGCTCCTGCGGTGGCTCCATCCAGGACTTCTTGTCTGGTCCTCGGTCTCCACTGTTCCTCTTCTCCCCTCGGTCGACCGCGCTCCTCCGTTTGGAACACACTGGGTCTGAGCTCCTCTGGGAGGCGTTGGCGAGATTATCTCTGGACTCCTGCAGATATTTAGATAATTACAATATAATATAGATAGATATGTTATGGAAAGAATAGAGAGAGACCAGAGAGAGATCAAAGAGAGAGACCAGAGAGAGAAACCAAAGAGAGACCAGTGAGAGGCCAGAGAGAGACCAGAGAAAAACCAGGGAGAGACCAGGGAGAGAGACCAGAGAGAGAGACCAAAGAGAGAGACCAAAGAGAGAGACCAGTGAGAGGCCAGAGAGAGACCAGAGAGACCACAGAGAGACCAGTGAGAGGCCAGAGAGAGACCAGAGAGAGAGACCACAGAGAGACCAGTGAGAGGCCAGAGAGAGACCAGAGAGAGAGACCAGAGAGAGAGAGACCAGAGAGAGACCAGAGAGAGAGACCAGAGAGAGATCAGAGGCAGAGACCAGAGACAGAGAAAAAAAAGAGACCAGAGAGAGACCAGAGAGAGAGAGAGAGATCAAAGAGAGAGACCAGAGAGAGAGAGACCAGAGAGTTCAGAGAGAGATCAAAGAGAGAGACCAGAGAGAGAGAGACTAGAGGCAGAAACCAGAAACAGAGAAAAAAAATAGACCAGAGAGAGAAACCAGAGAGAGAGAGAGAACAGCGAGAGACCAGAGTGAGACCAGAGAGAGACCAGAGTGAGACCAGAGAGAGAGATAAGAGAGAGACCAGAAAAAGACCAGAGTGATAGACCAGAGACTGTTGTGAATAGATATCGTGTACTATAAGGGTTAGCAGTAACAGTAACAGTACTAGTACTAGTACTAGTACTAGTAACAGTAAAGTCATCACCTGTGCTCCGACTTCGGCATCGCTGTCGTCGTCGCAGCTGTCGGACACACAGCCTGCGTCCATGGCCTCGTCCCCCAGAGAGCAGCAGTCGTCCCGGGCCTCGTCCTCGTCCTCTCGGGACCTCTCTGTGGAGGTCTCTCTGTGATCCACCCTCTCTGTGAAGCTCACCTTTCTGCGGCTCTCGCTCAGCTCCCACTCCTCCTCCGACAGCCTGAACCCCGCCTGCACACACCAGACTTCAGTACCATCCATTACCTGTGTGCTTTGTCCCTTTAAAATGATCTTCAGAACTTTTGACGGTGGAAGCTTGGGTTTTACAATGAATTGATCTAAACAAACGGTCTCTCTAGTATTTCTCTGATCTCTTTTTAGTGTCTCTCTGGTCACTCTCTGGTCACTCTCTGGTCTCTCTCTCTGGTCTCTCTCTCTGGTCTCTCTCTCTGGTCTCACTCTCTGGTCACTCTCTGGTCACTCTCTGGTCTCTCTCTCTGGTCTCTCTCTCTGGTCACTCTGGTCTCTCTCTCTGGTCTCTCTCTGGTCACTCTCTGGTCTCTCTCTGGTCTCTCTCTGGTCTCTCTTTCTGGTCTCTCTCTCTGGTCTCTCTCTCTGGTCTCTCTCTCTGGTCACTCTCTCTGGTCTCTCTCGCTGGTCTCCCTCGCTGGTCTCCCTCGCTGGTCACTCTCTGGTCACTCTCTGGTCACTCTCTGGTCTCTCTCTCTGGTCTTTCTCTGGTCTCTCTTTCTGGTCTCTCTCTCTGGTCACTCTCTCTGGTCACTCTCTCTGGTCACTCTCTGGTCTCTCTCTCTGGTCTCTCTCTCTGGTCTCTCTCTGGTCTCCCTCGCTGGTCTCTCTCTGGTCACTCTTTGGTCTCCCTCGCTGGTCTCTCTCTGGTCTCTCTCTGGTCTCTCTCTCTGGTCACTCTCTGGTCACTCTCTGGTCACTCTCTCTGGTCACTCTCTGGTCACTCTCTGGTCTCTCTCTGGTCTCTCTTTCTGGTCTCTCTCTCTGGTCTCTCTCTCTGGTCACTCTCTGGTCACTCTCTCTGGTCTCTCTCTCTGGTCACTCGCTGGTCTCTCTCTGGTCTCTCTCTGGTCTCTCTCTGGTCTCTCTCTGGTCTCCCTCTCTGGTCTCTCTCTGGTCTCTCTCTGGTCTCCCTCACTGGTCTCTCTCTGGTCTCTCTCTGGTCTCTCCCTGGTCACTCTCTGGTCTCTCTCTGGTCTCCCTCGCTGGTCTCTCCCTGGTCACTCTCTGGTCTCTCTCTGGTCTCTCTCTCTGGTCTCTCTCTCTGGTCACTCTCTGGTCACTCTCTGGTCACTCTCTGGTCTCCCTCGCGTCTCTCTCTGGTCTCTCCCTGGTCTCTCTCTGGTCTCTCTCTGGTCACTCTCTGGTCACTCTCTGGTCACTCTCTGGTCTCTCTCTGGTCTCTCTCTGGTCTCTCTCTGGTCTCTCTCTGGTCTCCCTCGCTGGTCTCTCTCTGGTCTCTCTCTGGTCTCTCTCTCTGGTCTCCCTCTGGTCTCTCTCTGGTCTCTCTCTGGTCTCTCTCTGGTCTCTCTCTGGTCTCTCTCTGGTCTCTCTCTGGTCTCTCTCTGGTCTCTCTCTGGTCTCTCTCTGGTCTCCCTCTGGTCTCTCTCTGGTCTCTCTCTAGTCTAGTTTAAATCAGACTTCTGACAGACCCCATAGTAACCAGGATAGATATCCCAGCTTCCCTCCACCACAATATTAAACTTCAGGCTCTTTAGAACAAACAACCTCCCGGGACTGTTCTCTGGTGCTCACTTTGAGGTCTCCGCGGGGCTTGGTGCCGTGTGTGACGCCGATGCCTTTGGGGCCCAGCAGGGAGCAGGCCGTGATCGAAGCCTGGGCCTTTCCTACCACCACGCGGCCGTACTTGAGGGCAATGGCGCGGAGCAGCTCCCACAGAACTTTGGGGGTGAAGACTCCGAGCTTGTTCTGCTCGTACAGATACGGCTGCAGCACCTCCTTTATGTTCTGCAGGAACTGGCGGAAGATCAGCAGCGTGGCCAGCATCTAAACACACACAGTGTCAGGATTTATCTAAGAGAGTGAGAGACGCCATCTGGTCTCTCTCTGGTCTCTTTCTATTCTTTCTCTCTGATCCCTCTATCTGGTCTCTCTCTGGTCTCTCTCTGGTCTCTCTCTATTCTTTCTCTCTGGTCTCTCTCTAGTCTCTATCTGGACTCTCTGATCTATTTTTCTGGTCTCTCTCTCTGGTCTTTCTCTGGTTTCTCTGTTCTCTCTAACTGGACTCTCTCTGATCTTTCTCTCTGGACTCTCTGAGCTCATTCTCTGGTCTCTCTCCTGATCTCTCTATTCTCTCTCTCTCTGGTCTCTCTATCTAGACTCTCTCTGATCTCTCTCCCTGGTCTCTCTCTCTTGTCATTCTCTCTGGTCTCTCTCTGGTCTCTCTCTCTCTGGTCTCTCTCTCTCTGATCCCTCTATCTGGTCTCTCTCTAGTCTCTATCTGGACTCTCTGATCTATTTTTCTGGTCTCTCTCTCTGGTCTTTCTCTGGTTTCTCTGTTCTCTCTAACTGGACTCTCTCTGATCTCTCTCCTGATCTCTCTATTCTCTCTCTCTCTAGACTCTCAATCTAGACTCTCTCGGATCTCACTCCCTGGTCTCTCTCTCTTGTCATTCTCTCTGGTCTCTTTCTGGTCTTTCTCTGGTTTCTCTGTTCTCTCTAACTGGACTCTCTCTGATCTTTCTCTCTGGACTCTCTGAGCTCATTCTCTATTCTCTCTCTCTCTATCTAGACTCTCTCTGATCTCTCTCCCTGGTCCCTCTCTCTTCTCTCTCTCCCTGGTCTCTCTCTCTTGTCATTCTCTCTGGTCTCTCTCTGGTCTCTCTCTCTCTGATCCCTCTATCTGGTCTCTCTCTAGTCTCTATCTGGACTCTCTGATCTATTTTTCTGGTCTCTCTCTCTGGTCTTTCTCTGGTTTCTCTGTTCTCTCTAACTGGACTCTCTCTGATCTCTCTCCCTGGTCTCTCTCTCTTGTCATTCTCTCTGGTCTCTTTCTGGTCTCTCTCCCTAATCTCTCTGGTCTATCTCTCTGTTTACTCTCTGGTCTCTCTCTGGTCTCTCTCTTGTCATTCTTTCTGGTCTCTTTCTGATCTTTATCTGGTCTCTCTCTCTGGTCTCTCTGATCTTTCTCTCTGGACTCTCTCTGAGCTCATTCTCTGGTCTCTCTCCCTGATCTCTCTATTCTCTCTCTCTCTAGTCTCTATCTAGACTCTCTCTGATCTCTCTCCCTGGTCTCTCTCCCTAATCTCTCTGATCTCTCTCTCTCTTTCTCTCTGGTCTCTCTCTCTTGTCATTCTTTCTGGTCTCTTTCTGATCTTTATCTGGTCTCTCTCTGGTCTCTCTCTGGTCTCTCTCTGGTCTCTCTCTCTGGTCTCTCTCTGGTCTCTCTCTCTGGTCTCTCTCTCTGGTCTCTCTCTGGTCTCTCTCTCTGGTCTCTCTCTGGTCTCTCTCTGGTCTCTCTCTCTGGTCTCTCTCTGGTTTCTCTCTGGTCTCTCTCTGGTCTCTCTCTGGTCTCTCTCTCTGGTCTCTCTCTCTGGTCTCTCTCTGGTCTCTCTCTCTGGTCTCTCTCTGGTCTCTCTCTGGTCTCTCTCTGGTCTCTCTCTCTGGTGTCTCTCTCTGGTCTCTCTCTGGTCTCTCTCTCTGGTCTCTCTCTGGTCTCTCTCTCTGGTCTCTCTCTGGTCTCTCTCTCTGGTCTCTCTCTGGTCTCCCTCTCTGGTCTCTCTCTCTGGTCTCTCTCTGGTCTCTCTCTCTGGTCTCGCTCTGGTCTCTCTCTCTTGTCTTTCTCTCCGAACATATTTCAGGCACGTCTCGCAGCGTCACTAAAACTTTGATGCTTGTATAAAAATAGACGGAACCTCTTTGAGCCGCTCCATGTCCTTGAGGTAGAAGGCGATGTAGAAAAGGCTCAGATAGGAGTTGATGAATTCAAACTGCAAAGACAGACTTTACTTTAAAATGCAAATACACAAACACACTGTAAAAATAATAATCAGGACGGAGCAGAGCAGCACTCACGAAAACCATTTTGATGATGAGGTTGCTCTCGTAGGCACTCTGCAGTCTGTAGTTCTCTGCAAAAGGCAACAGGGAATCATTGGGTTTACCTTCAGGAAGTGTGTGTGGAGAGGGAAGGGCTCAGACGGCTGCCTCCATGTTTGCAGTCCGGGTAAAGTGGAAGAAAAGGAGGTAATTCTCTAGTCGTACCCATGTCATGTAGACCCAGTAGTTTCACCCAGTCGTACCCATGTCATGTAGACCCAGTAGTCTCACCCAGTCGTACCCATGTCATGTAGACCCAGTAGTTTCACCCAGTCGTACCCATGTCATGTAGACCTAGGAGTTTCACCCAGTCGTACCCATGTCATGTAGACCCAGTAGTTTCACCCAGTCGTACCCATGTCATGTAGACCCAGTAGTTTCACCCAGTCGTACCCATGTCATGTAGACCCAGTAGTTTCACCCAGTCGTACCCATGTAATGTAGACCCAGTAGTCTCACCCAGTCGTACCCATGTCATGTAGACCCAGTAGTCTCACCCAGTCGTACCCATGTCATGTAGACCCAGTAGTTTCACCCAGTCGTACCCATGTCATGTAGACCCAGTAGTTTCACCCAGTCGTACCCATGTCATGTAGACCCAGTAGTTTCACCCAGTCGTACCCATGTCATGTAGACCCAGTAGTTTCACCCAGTCGTACCCATGTCATGTAGACCCAGTAGTTTCACCCAGTCGTACCCATGTCATGTAGACCCAGTAGTTTCACCCAGTCGTACCCATGTCATGTAGACCCAGTAGTCTCACCCAGTCGTACCCATGTCATGTAGACCCAGTAGTTTCACCCAGTCGTACCCATGTCATGTAGACCCAGTAGTTTCACCCAGTCGTACCCATGTCATGTAGACCCAGTAGTTTCACCCAGTCGTACCCATGTCATGTAGACCCAGTAGTTTCACCCAGTCGTACCCATGTCATGTAGACCCAGTAGTTTCACCCAGTCGTACCCATGTCATGTAGACCCAGTAGTTTCACCCAGTCGTACCCATGTCATGTAGACCCAGTAGTTTCACCCAGTCGTACCCATGTCATGTAGACCCAGTAGTTTCACCCAGTCGTACCCATGTCATGTAGACCCAGTAGTCTCACCCAGTCGTACCCATGTCATGTAGACCCAGTAGTCTCACCCAGTCGTACCCATGTTGTTGAGCCAGTAGTTTCACCCAGTCGTACCCATGTCATGTAGACCCAGTAGTTTCACCCAGTCGTACCCATGTCATGTAGACCCAGTAGTTTCACCCAGTCGTACCCATGTCATGTAGACCCAGTAGTTTCACCCAGTCGTACCCATGTCATGTAGACCCAGTAGTTTCACCCAGTCGTACCCATGTCATGTAGACCCAGTAGTTTCACCCAGTCGTACCCATGTCATGTAGACCCAGTAGTTTCACCCAGTCGTACCCATGTCATGTAGACCCAGTAGTTTCACCCAGTCGTACCCATGTCATGTAGACCCAGTAGTCTCACCCAGTCGTACCCATGTCATGTAGACCCAGTAGTTTCACCCAGTCGTACCCATGTCATGTAGACCCAGTAGTTTCACCCAGTCGTACCCATGTTATTGAGCCAGTAGGCGATCTTCTTGTACACTTCGTCGCAGATGGTCACAGTGATGGCCAGCAGGATTTTGGGGATGAATCTGGTGAGGCTGGGAAGCTCCTGGATCTCCATCACTAACTCCTGCAACAACAACAAACAAACATTTCAAAAGGAAGAAGTATCAACCCAAAATGTCCCAAACTCCACTCACCGTCAGCAAACAGAAGAGATTTAACATTTCTGTTTGGATTCTGTTCAAAGTTCAGGATCTTCAGATGATTTTTGTGAAGCTCTAAATTAGCACAATCCTCTCCTCTCTCCTACTTTATCTGTGATCGTTAGGACCTCAGCTGTAGTCTGTTCATTTCTATCCACCTGCTGTCCCATTGTCTGTTTCATGGTGTGATGATGGGACCCCTGAACCCTCCTGTGATCTGGTCTCCCCTGGCCCGGACACGTGGGGGTGCAGCCTCTTCAGTCCTGTATCTACAGCCGTTGGAGGACTGAGGCTGTAGACCCAGGACTGAGGCTGTAGACCCAGGACTGAGGCTGTAGATCCAGGACGGTGGCTGTAGATCCAGGACGGAGGCTGTAGACCCAGGACTGAGGCTGTAGATCCAGGACTGAGGCTGTAGACCCATGACTGAGGCTGTAGACCCAGGACTGAGGCTGTAGACCCAGGACTGAGGCTGTAGATCCAGGACGGAGGCTGTAGACCCAGGACTGAGGCTGTAGACCCAGGACTGAGGCTGTAGACCCAGGACTGAGGCTGTAGATCCAGGACTGAGGCTGTAGACCCAGGACTGAGGCTGTAGATCCAGGACTGAGGCTGTAGATCCAGGACTGAGGCTGTAGACCCAGGACTGAGGCTGTAGACCCAGGACTGAGGCTGTAGACCCAGGACTGAGGCTGTAGATCCAGGACTGAGGCTGTAGATCCAGGACTGAGGCTGTAGATCCAGGACTGAGGCTGTAGATCCAGGACTGAGGCTGTAGACCCATTTATCCCAGAGAATTTTACATTTGACCCAGAGTATTTCAGAGTATGCCACATTTGACCCAGGGTTTCCCAGCACCTGTAGCTCCAGACACAGCAGCATGGCGAGGAAGACGAAGCAGAGGCAGAGGAGGCAGATGGGGAGGCTGACGAGCCACTGGAACAGCGCCCTCTTCCAGGGGGGGTAGTGGAACTCCTCACAGCCTGTGATGGGACTGCAGCGCTTCACCCCCTGACACACACACACACACACACACACACACACACACACGCACACACACACACACACACACATATATATATTGATGTCAAAAAATGATTTGACTGACGTGTTCAGAATTTGATACAGAAATAAGGCCAAGAATGCAGGAGTTAAAAATAGAACATTTAATTCTCTTTACAATTAAATATTGATACAAAAACTCTCGGAGCCCTAAATTCTCTAAAACTAACCCTATGCTGAGCCATTCTAACTGTCCCTCCAGGCCTGAAAAATGTGCAGGGGACATCCAGGCGCTCTGCGATGTTCCCTGTCTAACTATCCCTGCTCAGACTGCCTGAAAATCTCCTCCGAGCAGTTTCTATCAGAAAGTCTGATGACGTCACAGGTCCCAGACTGGTCCAGTCTGATCCAGCTTTTTCTGGTTTTGGGAGGCGCGTACTCCAGCTAGCCCATTGGACTCCGGACTCTGTCTGGTCTGGTCTTGGTCTGGTCTGACATCAATCTCCTTCTCCAAACAACTCTTATCTGGCTGGGGGAGCTCTGCATTCCTCACATGGTCTGGCTGACTCGACTAGACCCCACTTAATATGAAATCACTGAAAATATAAACAACGTGTGCAGCATTTCTTGAGATGATGCATTATTCCCTCTTTTGACCTATATTAAACCAATTTAGGTCACAATCTTTCAATATCCCTTCTGGGTGACGGGACTGGGGAACTCTTCCATCATCGCCTTGGTTCTGGCTCGTTATCTGTGAAGAGTTAATACAGAGAAGACAAACAACACACAACAAACCACATTCGAAACATTCCTTCACTAAACTCTTTGATGACTACTGCTATGTCCTTCTGAGTCTTTCTTCAACCTCGTCTGTAATGTATGCACTGAATCTATTCACTATAGTTTAAACTATTCTAATCTATTTACAAATATGTTTGCATATTTTGCTTTTATTGAGCCCTATTCTTAAACATATGTTTTTATCTAATAAATCTGTCTATACTGTGGTTTGCTGTCATTATCAGTGGCTTTGTGCCATTTTGTGGGGCTTTGCTCATTTTTCCAAACACATTTTGTTGAACCAGGAAGTGCTGTCACTTCCTCCTCTCAAGACAGTTTGGGATAAATGTACATCGTTAATCAAATTGGTATTATCCGTACAGGAGCTAATCTATTTTAGCAGGTTTCTCTGGGGTCAGTCCCTATACAACGGTATTTGATTCTCTAATCTGTTGCTGACAAATCAACAGTTTTTTTAAATTCTCAAAAATACCTAAATATCTACTTTTGTGCTTTACCCAAATACATTAAAATGCTTTCAAATGTTTTTGAATCTGTGTTGGTTCTAATCGATCTCATTAATCTATCTCATTAGCTTTTTGCATTGTCAACATTCACCCATGTTTGAAACAAGTGAATTTGACAGTATCTAATAAAACTGTGCATAAACTGTAATGAACTTTATCTACCTTTGAAGTAAATACTTTTAGACATAATATGAAGGAAATGGTCCTTTTACCGTTTGATATTAGCCTTGGCTAAAAATAATCTCTATTTTTGAAAGCATCTATGGTTGATGCATTTATCTATTCCTATTTTTACTCTATTGTGACTCTAAAGCTCGGTTGCAGCTTGAGCAAAGGCATATTCCCAATTTTTGAGTTCTGATTGTAACAGTAATTGTGTAGATTTAAAATTGTGTTAAAGCCTGTCGTTCTATGTCTGCATTTTAATACTACTCTCTATAAACACATCTGCACTAGATCCTACAGATGTGGAAAACAGAAGCATCTAAAATCTGACTCCATTTGATTCCTTTTTACTTTAGTTATTAGAACAATTTGACCTTATTGATACTTATTTCCACAATAGAACTATTTTGATTATTCACTAGTCTAACTATTATTACTATTGTTTATTCTGACACTTCAACCTATAGCTCCTCGAATCCAATGACATTATAGCTCCAGACTATTTCATTCTATTCTATTATTATCTTATTATTATATGATCTATTATCTTAAAGAGTAGATCTGTTTGATGTTATAAGCGCTATTATTTCTCCTTTTGAATTTGCACAACACTAAATTTCGAATGACCCCCTATACTCCGAAAATTACTTAATAATTTTCCCATTTTGCTTTTTTAGGCTGCCCTTTCTATTATTTATTTGTTCTTGTAAATATATGTTTTACACTTCTTTCTAATGATTTAGAAGGTTAAGGACCATGACCACCTATGACAATACAATACTCCCCTCTTTTGGTCGTGGTCCAAAGTATAAAACATGCATCTGTGTGTGTGTAGATTACTGTTCCAATCCTGTTGTTCCTCCCGGATCGTCCTCAATTCATATTGTGAGCTTTGGTGCCAAAGTAGAGGCTCATTTCCTTAATTCATACTACTGTCATCCCTGAAGCAGGTGCAGTTTATCTTTCATCTGAAAAACAAACATTAGAACACAAGAAACACCCACTTTCCTCTCTTCGCATGGTGCGGCCTGTCAATCAATCCAATTGGGCAAAACATAACTGCATTGACAGACGGTGTGTGGCATCAGGGCAGAGGCTGTAGCCAAATACAGACTTAACAATATGTATGTTTCTAATTTTATACTCCCCTAAATGTGAGTTACAAACCAAAGTTGTCCTCCGCCCAATGACCGCTCACTGCGGTTGGACCGAATCACTGTCCGGGCAAACAGCAGAGGGAGGGACTCCCAGTACCTTCAGCAAGGTATTCATCTCAGAGTACTTTCCGCAGAGTACTTTTCTCAGAGTACTCATCCCAGAGTACTCTCACTTTTACACCTGTTCAATAAAGCTTGTCATCTTTGAATCTCTAGTACTTACACCGTATGCTGTTGACAAAAAATAATTATTCCATGATCACATTAAAACATTACAGAAAACTTTTGTTATTCCATGATTCCGTTCAGCACTCCTCGTTCACTCCCCAACACACTCACAACACCCCACGTTAGTATTGGTCCAGTTTGTTAAGGTCAACGTAGTGTACTTGACATGACGCACAAACATATAACATACACAAACATATAACATACACAAACATATAACATACACAAACATATAGACAACACAAGAGGCCTGTAATTTTAACTTTGTTATATTTTTCCATGTCCAATTACAATTGTCTCATGAGCTATTTTATAGTTGCAACTTTCAGAGCCTGCAGAACATGCAAAGCTTTGAGAGATTTTTCCTAAAAGGATCCATTTAAAACTTTAGTGTTTAAACCACGTGGTCTTTACTCGGGCTTGTCACAAACTGTGTCCCCTATATTTTTAATGAGCTCTTGTTACTAAAAAAAAAACTCATGCACGTGCAATAAATGTTTTTCCCTTTTTTTTTTTAAAGCCAGTTCGGATTCCTTAAAAATGTAAATTAGTTTCAAACTTTAATACTTCACCTTTGTTTCACGTTCATGTGGAGAAAAGACCATTGTTTTATGTGTGTGTACTTGCGCCAATCATGTCTCAGATAAACTGCCAACAGTTGTCACTCAACTTGCCGGGCCCTTCCCCAGCTGCCCGTTTCTCTTATCTAATCAGCCCCAGATTTCCTCTGCAGTTATGCAAGTGTAGTTCTTACACTGCGGAAACGCGCCCCGGTTTCAGCGAACCGGTTGGACCTCACACCTGGCTTTCACCTCTTCCGTACTATTTACCCCCGGACTCACTGCCAGTCCCCCACCAATCTATCTCACACCTTCCCATCGGCGTCCTATACCCCCCCAATACCCCTACTCACTCGTTCAACCACTACATCGCGCTCTCACCTACTTTACGATACTACTGCTGTTCTCATCTCCTTATGTGTCTCATGCTCAAGCAAGCGTTCTAATTCCTTTTAACGCATTGTCCTGTATTCTCTCATGCAGCTCAATGTGGTGTTCTGACCCGAAGATGACCTACCTGTGTTAAATCCATGACTTCCTATGGTCTCCTGTGCTTTTGTTGTCTAGTCATATAAATACCTTCTGTCTGTCCTCATTATGCTCCTGGGGCCACCCACGTCCTCCTCCCCTGTCTGTTTACCGATCTCTATAATTTTCTCATGGCGTCTTTCAACTGTCTTATTGTCTCCCGGTCGAAGTGTCCCCAGCCTTTGCCTCAGCTGCCTTTTTTTCTATCCCTCTTCAAACCTCACACCTTTTCTTTCATCTTCTTCTTTTCTAATCCATCAATCTTCTTTTATCCTTCCGCGATCCCTTTTTCTCAAACTGATACATATTCCCTAATTTCCCTCCCTTTCATCTTCATTTCGACCCCATTATCTCATGTCTTTCTGCATACCTTCTTACTTCCTTTTCTTTCCCATCTGCCCACACCCCACCAAGAGATCGTGTCCATTCAGCTCGGCTACACCACACCGTTCCCTATTCCTGCAACCTACCTTCCACCCCGTTTGTGCACCCGTCTGTGGCCTGTACTATGCTGCAGCTGCTGCTGATAGATGTGCAGCTGTATGCTAGCCGCCGATGCTGCTTGCGATTACTGCTGCGGCTGATGCATGCTTGCTGGCAGCTGTTGCCTGCAAGCCTGCTACTGCTGTCGTGCAGATGAGCCTGATGCATTGCCCTCGGTTCGTGGTATGATGGCAGGGCCGGCTTTTTGGCGCCTATCGGCCCATGCACACCGACCAGACAGTGTTATCTTCCGCCACCCCCCGCTCCGACCCCCAGCCCCCACACCCACCCGATGTGTTATATACACTATCCCCCCACACCACTGCATTAACTTCCGCACACCCATCCTCCCCCCCTGAACTGACATGTATCCTATTACCCTATTTTTAACCCTTAACATTCTGACGCCCACCCCCATACTGTCAATCCCCTGCTCATCCTACGCTCATAATTTTTCCAACCCGTATTAATCTGAATGCACTTCACGAGCAGATATACAATTTTCTCATCCCCACACAACGTTTGGGACCACCTGTTTCAATCACTTGTCTCGACCGTTTGGGAGCTGGTCCAACGCATAACACACCCTGCTCACTATATCTACATCTCACACACGTTCTGTGCTCATATGCCAACCATGCCTCGTAACCATTCTCGTGTGTACGTAACTGTACCATATTCTACACAAAAAACTATTGGGTCTGCCTCTATGCATAACCGGGGGAGGAGCGGCGACGAGCGTGCAGAGACGCCGACGCAGACACGAGGGGAGGGGGGGGGCTGGACGTGGCCTGTATGCCACGCCTATATTATCCGAGAGGGGAGCGCCAGGAGGGCCAGCAGAGGCGGGCGCAGGAGGGGCTTTTGTGGCTTCATAGGGACACACTGAGGAAGTCCAGGTAACGCCTGCCAAGACCCCACCACTTCATGCCCATCCCCTATTTCCACATTTGCTACCTTTTCCTCGATTATTTAGTGAGCCCTGCAGTTATTATCAGTGGTGCGCGTTCTCTCACGTCACCCCGACACCTTTTCCCATTTATCTATACCTTACGTCAGATCACTGGACCACCTTACACCATATTGCTTACATGACGCCTGCCTCCCTCGGGTCAGCGCGGCTCCTTTTTCGTCACTCACCTCTGGTCAAACTACAGACACCATTACCTAACCCCCTAGAGCTAACTTCCCACAACTGCTGCTGGTCTATATCATACCACCCTGGCCCCTCGTCTATACAGCCAAGGTGGCTCTCTTTTTCCTCCTTACTACAGACTCCTTATATTCCATCAGTCGACAACCATCGCCACCCCCCCCCCAGTTTTATTACTACCTTGGCTCATATAGTATCACAAATACCACTGATATATCTATATTACACGGTATCCCCTATTGATTCCTTGTCCCTCATTTCTCCTTTCCCTACCCACTTGATGCCTCTATTTGCCCTTCTAAACCGAGTATTTTTTATGTGCCTCTCTATTGCCCTTCTAACACACCCTTGTGGACTTTGTATTTCCCTTTTTGTTTTTCTTAGGCGGGGCCCCCACCACTTCCCTCCAGGGTACACACGTTCACAATAAACCTGACTATTAGTTTTATCTGCGATCCGTATCTTTATATCCACACGCCCCCTCCAGGGACGGGTACTGTCCCCCCCATGCGCGTACAAGTCTGGGCCGCAGATCTTCTCTGATCTTCTCAAATTTACACCACAGTTGCAGCTCTTCGGACAATGGTATCCTGGCCTACCGGTGTATTTGCCGAAGTCGAGCGCCCCCCGCTCCCAACACGACCCCAGTTCTAATCTATCTGCGCTCATCTTTGCGACTTCTTTCTGCTATCACATACACGTCCAGGGTCCCCATCTGATCGTGCACAAACAGCTTTAGACTGCCGTGATTCAGACATATAGATCCAGCACACTACAGGCCCAGACATGCCGGAGTTAATCACACGCACCAATAACCATACTCTTATACACACTAACCAAAGATGCTACCCAACACTCTTCGGCGCCCTAACATTCTACTCCACCAGCCCCCCTAACGCTGTAGTAGCGCCCTTCTACCTGTTCCCTCCAGGCCTGGAAACCCTGTTGCACGGGGACATCCAGGCGCATACTGCGGTGGATCCCTGTCTCACTATCCCTGCTTCCGCACTGCCGTGACCAACTCCTTCCGAAGCCCAGTTTCTAATCCGCAAGTCTGATGCCGTCCCAGGATCCCAGACTGGACCCGTCTGATACCAGCCTTTATTTCTGGTATATAGGGAGGGCGCGGTACTCCAGCTACGCCCATAGGGACTCCGGCACTGAGTCCCTGGTGCTGGTCTAGGTCTGGGGATACTAGCCACATCCCACTCCTCCTCCTTCCCCACACAACTGCTGATACTCTGGCTGGGGGGAGCGTCATGCCTTACCTACCCCTGAGGCTGGGCTGACTCGGACAGCGGCCCCCACTTACCTATGCCCATCCCTGACACACAACCCAACCGTGTTGCGCGGCATTATTCATGAGCTGCTGCATTACAAATATAACAACCACCCCCCCCCCCCCACCATCACATTACTCCCACTACACCACCCACACACTCACCCTTATCCACACGCCCCCCATCCCCACCCCGCCCCCGTCCATCCCCCCGCTATCCCCACGCCACACCACCATCATTAAAATCCCCACCCCCCCCTATACCCCCACCCCCATTCCGCTACACCCCGCTTCTACCCCCGCCCCACCCCCCCACCACCCACCCCAACGATCACTCAACCTACACCCCCCCCCCCACCCCCATACACCACGCCGCACCCCTACACCCCACCCACGCGCCTACCAGCTCTCCACCCCGACCCACACCCCCCCACCCATCCCTCCCTACCCCGCTCCTAATACCCCACCCACACCCCCCCCCCCCCCCCCCCCCCACCCCCCTCACCACACACCCCCATACATACCCCAGCTCTATCCACACGCCACACACACCCCCCCCACCCTTCCATACTAATCACCCCCCCATACCCCCCGCACCCCGCACCGCCCCCCCCCACCAGCCCAACATCCCCAGATCATACCACACGCACCCCCATATCACCTACCACTCCACCCCAAACCTCCACCAGAACATCCCCCCCGCCCACCCACACTCCCCACACACAGCCTCCCCACACACCCGGGCTAGGATACGTTTAAGTGCGTTCTACTGGCATTTTACTATACTTCCTCCGGTTATATGCCGCATACACGTCTTTCACACTAACCAGCAAATCTTAATATCTTTCATACGTATACTACTTTACGGGATCCCATATTCCAATCTTCCTTTGCACTTATACTAATTAACCCTTCCCAGATCTTATAGTTTTACTTGCGGCCACTGACCTCCCCTATCGCCCTTATTCTTATTCTTTCGCCTTTTTACCGTATATCTAATCCCAACCTACATTCTACTCCTACTTCTCATTGTACCGAGTTTCTAATTTATTTTCTTTTAGTTATTTAATGTTAATTTTTGCACATTTTATTAATTTTCTGTTCTTTCATGTCTCTTATTCATAATAATTATATTTTCTATAATCTACCAGTGTGTAATATCTTTGTTGCCCTTTTGCATTTTGTACCAGCCACTTTGGACACACTAGCGTGTTTCTGAGCACTGAGCATCTATCAACATCAACGTGGATTGGCTTTGGAATAGCACAGCCTAATACATACATCATACTCCAAGTAGTTTGTTCCCCTACTTACATATTCTACTTAATGTTAGTATACTTATATTTATAGACCTCAGGCGTGACCATCCCCACACTTACTCCAGTGCATCCCACTATTTTTTTTCAAATCACCAACCACCGGACAAGTGTAGCGCCCCAACACGTGGGGGCTCGACCCCTCGCCCCCTGAGCTTCCGAGTCTCATGCTCTTACCGACTGCGCTACGCCGGGGCTCCTAGAACCACAAAGGTTTCCCCCCCGTCATTTTGGCAGGAACATCCTCCACCGCACCCCCCTCCACCCCCCTATCTTTACACCGTCTCATTCCTGATCGTCCCTGGAGGCCGCCGAGGGGGGAGGGGGGGCGAGCGGCGCGAGGGGCGGCGGTGTGGGCCGCTTCCCCCCCTCTCTCGCGGGGCCTCAAGGTCACCCAGAGCGCGCCGGCCAAGTTGCGGCAAACCGGATCGATCCCGTTTTGGCTAGCGACCTTGAATGCGAATCCGCCGTCTGGAAGGTTCTTTTACACACACTACAGGGCTCCCATTATGTTCAACCGACCATATCATCAACACAACATCCCCCTGAGGACCACCATCTTACAATCAATCCATCTATTGGTGTGTACCTAATTTCTGTCCTCATTACTCCTTAAACATACAAATATCTTAGCGAGCGACCTTGTCACTGCATCCTAATCGTGTGTTAGACCCCTGGCAGTGTAATCATACATACTCAGTGCATACGGTGAGTTCCTCGAGATTTGGCGCTACAGGGCCCCATCTAGTGCTCGGGGGGGGGCTTCTCGTGGTACCTGCAGACTAGACCAGCCTACACATCTCGTGGGCTCCGCAAGCCATGCTCCCCCTCGAACTCATCCATCCATATCTCTGCGGTCAGCTGGGGGTGTCCGTCAGAGCTAGCCACCCCAGGTTCCCACAGGCGGCCCCAGCCCCCTCACTGCTCCTGCCCGCAGGTGCTTGCCGCTCATCTTCCGTGGGGGCTATCAGGCCCGCGGAGGGGGTTCCGGAAAGAGTCATTGCACAGGGGACCCACCGGCCCGCAGTCCTCATGTCGTGACGTCATGTCTCTGTGGGTCGGGCGTGAACCCCCGGCCCATACCGGTCTCCAAGTGCCCACTGCTCTCCCACCTGGCGCTCCCTGAGATATAACACCTACCCACCCCTCCATGCCCCTCAGCAGGCCCGCAGAACCTGCACCGGAGAACCTGACCGCGCACCCTGACCGAGACACCCTGACGAGCAGCTGACCCTGACCCTGCCCGCGAACCTGACAGGCACTTGACCAGAGACCCTGACTCGACACCTGCACGAGACGCCTCTGACGAGAACATGCGAGCCCCAGCCAGCGACCCTTGCACCGAGACACCTGCGAGCGACCCTGACCGGAGAACCTGACGCGAGACCCTGCCCGCGGCACCTGGAACCGCGACGAACCTGACGAGAGAACCTGACAGTAGCAACCTGACCGCGACCCCTGGCCGCGCCCCTGCATCCGCGAACCCTGACCGAGCACACCCTGACAGAGGCACCCTTGCCCGCGGCCCCTGACCGAGCCCCTGCACCGAGCAACCGGCCAGCGCAACCTACTGAAGCGACCCTGACAGAGACCCTGACCCGCGAACCTACACCGAGCACCTGCCAGAGAACCTGCACGGCAGAACTCCGACTTTCAGAAAGATCGATATTGGGGCTTTTTCGTTGTTCCCTTGCCAACTTTATTTCATCCCCCTTTCGATGCCCCCCCACCTCTATCTCCCTTTGCCCTCCCTCTCTAAACTCCGCCCCAACCAATCCCGCGTTCCGCGAATCTCCCCTGAACTGACGGGCCGTGGCTCTCTCCAGTGGCCATCTGCGGGGGTGTCGACGGGTACCCCCCCATGTCGGCCAGCGCTCAGCCTCCCCGCCTCCTATTCCCCTACGCCCGGAAACCGCGTGGGCCCCCACCCCGTTACACCAGCGCGCCAGGACCCACGCAGCCGATGTCCTGGCTGGTCTGGCGGGACGCGCGCCAGGGCCCCGGATATGTATGACCCGGCCTGACCCTGTGTGTCTCAACTATCAGACTGTACCCTATCGCCCTACGCAACCGAAAGATCCGGCCTTTCAAGCTCTCACACAGGTGCCATTCCACTCAGTCTGCTAACCCCCTCTGGAAGGAATAAAGTACCCCCGCATACGAAAGAAGCTACAAGCCAACATGCTCAAAAACAGAGGAACAAAACCTGCCAAGCTCTCTAGTGTTTTTATTCTTAATTGACACATTTGACTGTGATTTACCCACCAACCTTATTCCCCTGTGACCAACGCCATTTAGTCTGATTATTAAGATAACTGCTGTCCCATTGGTATACCTCTTGTTTTAAGGCACGCGCTCGCCTCCTAGGATCCCATGGAGTAGAGTTGGGGCTTATCTATACCAGCACCAAAGGATAGTGAAATACATACCTTGCCCCGTTTTTGCCGGATCCTCCACCCCTATCCATGACGGACAGGACACCAATCACTGTTTAATTCACCTTACAAGCCCCAAGAGGCATCTCCCTCACCCCCGAAGCATTTATGCCAAACTTTTAGCGCCCACTTCTCATCTTCTCATCACTTTTAGCCGTGTAACAGAATGTAGGATACCGGCCCCTATGACTCTCTCGCTAACAGTTCTACTTACAGTTTACAACACTCTTTATTTCCAAATATGCTGTTTCATTGACTCTTCAGGACCTAGCACAAAGACCCCAGAGCGTCCAGCTGCACTGTAGCCGGAGGAAACACCTGGAGACGAGTAAGTTCTGCACTGACCACAACCCATAGACCCCCCAACACACACCACACCACAAACACAAAAAACAACAACCACACAACAATCAAAGCATGCGACAAACCTAACATAAACAACCAACACCAAAACATCAAAGATAACCCACACAAAACACACCCAAAAAACAAAGCACAATCAATAAATCAACATATAAACCACACAAACAACAAAATCCACCAACAACAAACAACACCCCTAACCCAAACAGAACCCAACAGATAAAAACACACCCACCACGAAAAACACAAAAAGCAAAAAGACCAACAAAAACCAAAACACCACAACGCAAAACATCACAAACACAAGCAACACCAACATCACAAACCAAGACAACACAGCATGAAAAAAGATACCAAAAATAGAAACAACACATAACATAAAACCACAACAACACACAACACAAACAAAAACAACATCCTACCAAAAACAATAACAACCCACACCCACACGTCCAACACAAAAAACAAACAGAGACAAAAACCAACACAAGACGAAAAACCGTACAAAACCCCATACAACCCCAACAACTAAGCACTCACAACCCAAAACAAGAGCAAAACAAACTGCAACAAAACCCACCAACACCCCAAAACCACAAACCCACTCACAAACACAAACAAAAATCAAAAAACAAAATAAACACAACACAAAAACAACGAAAAACACACCCAAGCACAATCCAACATTATACCAAGAAACAAAAACACCAAAACCCACAGAAAACACGTCATACAACAACTTACACAAAAAACGACGACAAAATCAAAACAATCAAACACAAAAAACCGAAACACCACCAATAAAACGCAAAGACATGACAGCACCCAAACTAATAAAACTATCACAACTCATAATACAAATAAAACTACGAACACAAACAAAACTAAACACATACAACACAAAAGACACCCAAAAATAAACCAACATCCACCACAAACCACAACACCGTACAACAACACAAAAGAAATAACTACTCCATACACCCCACACCACAGAATCCAACAAAAGCCACCAATTCACCACACATACGAGCAACACCAAAACAAACACACAAGCAACATCCCACATCAACACCACAAACACACGAACACGACAAAAGCACGTAACACCCAAAACACCCAAAAATCACAACACTATGAATACACAACTTACACAACGAAAATTCAAGATGTTCCACAACCAAAAAATAGCTGTAAAACAAAAACATAAAATCAAAAAACAACACACAACACCACACCACCCATAACCAAGAAAACAACAAATAACAAATACGAGCAAGAACCTCGAACACAAATAAACCAACTAAGGAAAAATAACAAAACCAAAACAACTCAAACTAAAGATACCACAACGACACAACCAAGTACAACAAAAAAAATCAAACTGCCAAAAAATAACAACAAGACAAATACGACACAAACCAAATACACGACCCAACCAGCCGAAAAAACAAAAAAAACATACCGCCAAACACAAAGACAAAACAACACCAGCCATCAACCACTAAAGAATAGAAGGAAACCCAAACATACAACCAAACAACAGATACACACCCTACCACAAACCAGAACACACAAAAAAAAAAACAAACAACAAACAATCCAACACAAACAGCACTAACCCAAAGATAACAACAACAAACATAAACACAAAACACGAAACCAAAACCACATCCAAAAGCAAACAAAAAAAACACAAATAAACAACCCAGAGACAAAAAAAAAACACCCAAAACACCCCCCAAAACATCGCACGAATAACCACACGTCCAATAACCACAGAAACATGCACAAACAACCTAAAACACCCTAAACACATAAATAAAACAAACCCAAACAGAAAACACAACAAACACAACACACAACAACCACAACCAGACCACAATCACAACAAACACGAAAATCACAATCGAAAAAAAATAACATCACACCGACACAAACACCACAACCACCACACTCTACAAACGCAAAAATAACCTAAACAAATAACTATACACACAAAAAACAACAACAAAAACAGAAACAAATCAACAAACAAACAACTACAAAAGAACCACTAAAACACAAAAATACAAACATCAATAACACTCCAAACTGAAACACACAAACCACCGAAACACACACAAACAAAAAACACAACCCCCAAAAAAATACGTGACCAAAAACAAAGTACCACAAAAGGCACAACCAAACATCCCAAAACCTACAACACCAAATAACAGCCAACCATAAATATCGATAAACCAAAACCAACCCAATACAAACACACACACACCAACACCACCAGACGCTACCACAAAAAAACCATAAACCACACATCCACCGACACAACACAAACAAACCAACACAAACACACAAACAACATACCTCAACAACACAAGAAACCTAACATAAACCAACACCACCCAAAACAACCCACATCAAATAACCCCCCACAGACAAACAACATAACACACAAAACACGAAAAAACAACACCACAAAAGACAAAGCAAACAAACATACACACAAACCACAAACACAAAACACAACACACAACACACCACAAAATCAAAGAAAAACCACAACCGCAAATAGCTCAACCAACACTCCACAACCACAAACACCAAATAACCAACCAAAAACAAACACATGACACACCCCCAACACCACCACACACTCCTAAAAATCAAAAGTTCGAGCTAGAACACACCAAACAAAATGTAATAAACAAACAACAACACAAGATCCAAAACACAAAAAACAGCGGGAGCATCAAGACAGCAACAAAACCAACCTACAACAACCAACCAGAAAAACACAAGACAACACAAAGATACACACAAACTACCAACTAAAGACCCAAAAAACACAAAAAACAAAAAATCAAATAAACACAAAAACGAACTTGTACACAACCCAACTAGACACAAAAAATACACACCACAATAATAAACAACCCATACCCAACCCACTATCAACAGAAACCCAACTACCACCACCCACCAACCAGCAAAAAACCCAACAAAATAACACACAACCACACCACCAACACCACACATAAACAGCAACACAACAACACAACACACCAACAAAACCAACCCCAAAACAACACCCGAACACCCCTACTATAAACCACCCTACACACACACCCATACAGAAAGATCCCCAGAAACAAACAACCACAAGAAAAGACACAACAAATACCAAACAACACCCCAAAAAAAAACACACCACAATACATAAACAACCAAAACAAACAGACGAATTACCCACGTACAAAAAACCGACAAGCAAAAACCCAACCCAACACCCACAAAACACCAACAGACGCCCCGACACCAACATATACACTACACACCCAACAAAACCACGAACAATCAAAAAAAACTCAACCCACAAAACCAACAACACCCCAAACGAAGACGCAAAAAAACAAACTATCAACCAAAAAAACAATACAAACGAAGACAAAATAGCACACAACAAAAACCACAAAATACACACAACCAAAGAAAAAAAGAAACAAAACCACCGATACCAACCACTAGACATGAACGACAGAAAAACAAAAGATACACAAAAAAAAAAAAATCCAATTAAAAACAAACCACCCTTCGAAACAAGCACCACACACCGACCAAACTATACACACAAACAAAGAAACACAAAACCACAACACCAGAACAGAGAAGACCTACAAACAAACACACACAACGACAACACCAAAACAACTAAAAACCAAACATCAAACGACACGCCCCACACCACACACACGACAAAGCAACAAGAAAAGGCAAAACACGAAACAAAGACTACCAAAAAAAACCCAAATACCACAAAAAAAAAAACACCAAACGACAAAAACACCAAACAATTAACAACATACAAAAGCTCCACACAAATAAAAAACACAAACAAATAAACCAAAATCTAAAAGATACCACCACCGACCAAACACAACCTCCTAACAAACATACCACACAAAACCAATCCACCAACAAAGCCCAACAGACCAACACAGACACAGCCCGAAACACACAACATATACAAGAACTACACACACCATAATCAAAACATACAAACAAACACACACACCACAAAAACAAACACATACAAGAGTGAAACCTAAACAAAAAAGACACACAAAACAACTACAACACACAACAACACAAAAACACGAAACCAAAACCACAACAGAGACCACCACAAATAATACAAGAATACGCCAAAAACCAAAGATACACAAACCAACAAATCACACAAGCCACAATAGAACAAACAACAATCGACAAAAGAATACCCAACAAACCCTAAACAAAAAACCAAAATAAACCACAAAAACCAACAAATACCACATCCACTAACTAAAAACACGACACCCACTAGTAGGCCTATCAACAAACCAGACAAAAAAACCAAAACGACAATCAACAACGCCATTAAGCGCATAAGCCCAATATCAAAACCCAACGAAAAAGAAACAAACAAGAACACGAGATCACACACAACAGTACAGACAACACCAAACAAAAACCAACGACCCACATAAAAAAAATCAAACCCAACCAACAACAGCACGAAGACAAACCAAATCTAACACAACAAAACAGAAAATCAAAACGACAACCACCAAAAAAACCAACGAATAAATCTCCACACACAAGGTCAGATTAAATAGCAAAAAACAACCACACACAAACCCACTAAGAACACACCATAACACAACACGAAAGAACAGAACCACAACCACCAAACAACAAAAAAACACACAACAACCAAACGCAACCAACACTACACAACCCACACAAAAATCACAAACAAAACCACACAAACGACCACACAAAAAAACACAAAAAACCCCCACCAATACACCCATCAACCCATCACACAACCACAACGAACACCCCCACACCAACCACCCCACATAAATAACACCTAACAAACAACACCGTAATACACTAAACAAATAAAAACCAAAAGACATAACCACTACTCCGCACATAACCCCAATAACACAATAACCCACACGATCAAAACTACGAGAGAAAAACACACAATAAAACCCAAACAAACCGATCAGCACAATATAGTACATAATAACAAGAACACGACAACAAAAAAAACAAAAAACAAAAAAAAGAAAAGAACACCAAAGACAGTACACAAACCACAAACAAGCCGCCATAAACAGTGAAACAAAACACCATCCATATAAACATGAACAACAGTACAAACACACCAACAAACGACATAACAAAAACAAACCAGACCAACCCAACCACACACAAAATACAAATCCCTAACCAAAAAGCTAGACAGACACACAACAAAACAAAACAAAAACCACAACCAAAAAATCACTAAACCAATAAAAACCCCACCACACAAACACACCAACCATCCAAATCACACAACCAACAACACATACCACAAAAAAAAATACGAAAACTTACCACCCCATACGCCTAAACCAAAAATAAATAAACCAAACACAGATTAAAAAACCAAGACATCGCCAAACACAAGAGCACAACAAACCCAAACCAACACATGATAACAAAAACACCCACACAAACAAACAATAAATAATTAAACAATCCACAACACCACAACCAGAACATACCCCACCAAGAAAGCAAAGTACGAAAATTAAAAACACAACCAGAAACACAACAAAACAACACAAAAAACGACAAAAACACAACACACCAAAACAACAATAAAACCAGAAAACACACACCACATAAACCACATCCCCAACACAACCACAAAATAAACCTCCAATACACATAAAAATCATAATGAACATAAAAAACAAAAACCAACACCCGACATCAACCGACGAAACACCAACCACACAACACAATACACCAAAATCACCACCACAAACACAACACAAATCACAAAAATACAAACAAAAGACCCAAAAACAACCACCCCACGAACAGAACAACACACTAGCAACCCCAAAATCACATCACAAAAACCACAACAACCTACAACCAACAAAGACACAACATAACATCAAACAAACTAAAACAACCCACAAAACCACAAAACCAAGTACAAAGGGGACCAATTCAAAACGAAACCAACAACACCACCAAAAATATATGAAAGCACAACACACAAGAAAAAGAAAAACCAACACCAATGAGATCTGACGAAAATAAACCAAACGACAATATAAAACCACAACCCAACGACAACCCAACTATCAAACAACACCATCAAACACCCGCATAAGCACCGACAAAAAACATCAGCAACAACAATCAAAGGAAACAATTACCAACAAACAAAGACAACAAACAAACTACCGCAAACCCATAACACCACCCACCCAAACAACAACTATGACACAACTAGAACACACAAAAAACACATAAAACCCACACACATCGAAGAAAAAAAAACACAAAAAACAACAAAACAACTAAAAATAAAACACCCGCAAAACAACCCAACCACAAACCACGAACATAAACAAGCAAACCACGCCAACACCCATTCAACATAAACAACCAACACCAAAAGCACGTACAACTAAACAACAGCAACAACCACAAACGAACAAAAAAAACCCACCACGATACAAAAGAAACAACCGCACAAATCCACATCTTAAAAATTACAAATAACAAGAAAAAAGTCACAATTATAACAAAAAACAATCCCCTAACAACCCCAACACACAACAACTGCACAAACCCCAAGTCAAAACCACACAGCACCAAAGAGAAAAACATACCGAATAATATACACAAGACAAAAACCCACAAACGTAAGAAACAACACCAACTACAACCAACCTAACACCTACTAAACCATACACACAACAACACAACACATACAACCACCATCACAAACACCTATACCACAAAGCGACAAACCGACACAACCACAGACACAAACAAAAAAAAACCAAGAGAAAACAAATACAACACACACAAACCCCTACACAGACGACATCCACAAAACAATGCACAAACAACCACCAAATTAAAATAGCACAACCCAACAGACCATAACAAAAAAAACAAGGGACATACTACAATACAAGCCCTCAAACCAGAGCCCAACACCTGAAATACGACATAACAAAAAACACAATCCAAAACCTACCCTATATACAATACCCCTACCACTGCACAACCAACAACAACCAAAAACCCCCATCAAATGATTACCACAAAATGAGCAAAACACCACATCCACACAACCAAAACCAAACACAACACACACAACACACACACAAAAAAGCAGAACCACACAAAAAAGCCAACCCAACATCAGAAACAAACCACCTACAAAAACAGCAAAAACACACAACAACACCACAAACACGACCACCACAAATGATATCAACAACGACACAAAAAACAGCACACCAAACACAAAAAACACATACCCACACAAAACAATAAACGCCAACAGAAACCAAAACACCAACAACAACACCCCAATAAACCGTACATACACACAAACCCATATAATACACAGACCCACCCCCAACGAAACACGAAATCAACATAAAACAAACCACTATAAAAACAAAAAAAAACAACACACCACTAAAAGAAACACACCTACCTAACGCACCAACAGCAAACTAAGACCCAACAACGAAAAAATCAATAAACCAAGCGACAAAAACACCAACACCAACCCAAACACGAACACAAAACCACACACAATACCAACCCCAAAATAACCAAGACACTACAAACAAATACCCCCGATCCACAACAAAAACACACCCACCAACACAATCACAAACAACCACACAAACAAACACCCAACCACACCCAACAACAAAAATACAAAACCATCAACACAGACCACAAAGAAACCAAGATTCCCACGCAACCCATACAAAAAAAATCTACACCAAAAAACCACAGACAACACAACACACACCACCCACACAATACGACACACAACCCAAAAACAACCCAAACACAAAACCACAACGACCACACACAAACAAGCCAAACAAAGACCACACATAACCCCAAACACAAACACACAAAACCCCACATAGAAAACACCACAGACACAGACATAATTGGTAAAATCAGAAACCAACCAAACCACCGACAAAATAATAACAAACAGCACAAACACACAAACCAAACAGCCAGAACAAACTAAACACAACACACATATAACTCACACGATATATATAAACACACACACACACACACATATATATATATAAACACACACACACACACATACACACGCACACAATACACACACACACAGAATACACAGATATACACACGCACACACACACATAAATACACACACACACAATACACACACACATACATACACAGATATACACACGCACACACACACACACACACACACATATATATATAAACACACACACACACACACATACACACGCACACAATACACACACACAGAATACACAGATATACACACGCACACACACACACACACATACATACATACACAGATATATACACACACACACACACAAAAACACACACACACAATACACACACACATACATACACAGATATACACACGCACACACACACACACACACACATATATATAAACACACATACACACGCACACAATACACACACACACAGAATACACAGATATACACACGCACACACATAAATACACACACACATACATACACAGATATACACACACACAAACACACACACACAGAATACACACACACAGGGTTGGTTAGTTTAGTGCGTTCTATGCATTTTCTATATTCATCATGTTTTTGCAGAATAAGTCTTTAAAATAACCAGAAAATAATAATTCTTTATAGTAATAATTTAAGGATCAATATTCCATCTATTTGACTTTCTATTAAAAATCACAGTATTTAGTTTTATGAGGCCAATTACTCCCATTAGACTTATTATTATTATTTCGCCTTTAAAGTTTTGATACCAAACATTTTCCTCTCATAAATTATTTTTTTATTTTATTTTTTATGTTATTTATGTTATTTTTGAATTTTATTTTTTATGTTATTTATGTTATTATTATTATTTTTTTTTTTATATAAATGTGTGTATTTATTTGTTGCCATTTTGCATGTTGTACAGCACTTTGGAAACTGCGTGTTTATGAAATGTGCTATATAAATAAAGTGGATTGGATTGGATTGAAATAATAATAATAATAATAATAATAGTTTGTTAACATAATAATATTATAATAATGTTAGTTAATTATATTTAATAGAACTCAGGAGTGACATCACACTTTCTACAGTCATCCCATATTTTTTTAATCACAAACATCAGGAAAAGTGTAGCGCCCAACGTGGGGCTCGAACCCACGACCCTGAGATTAAGAGTCTCATGCTCTACCGACTGAGCTAGCCGGGCTTGAACAACAAGTTTCACAACCGTCTTTTGAAAGAACTCCTCCAAGCACCCCCTCAACCCCCCTCTTTACAAAGTCTATTCATGTGTCCTGGAGCAGCAGAGGGGGGAGGGGGGGAGAGGGTGAGGGGGAGGTGTGGGCCGCTCCCCCCCTCTCTCCGCGGGCAAAGGTCACAGAGAGCGCGGCAAAGTTGAGGAAACCGGAAGTCCCGTTTTGGCTGCGACATAGATGAGATCAGACGTATGGAAGGTTCTTTAAAACACACGGGTCCAATTTGTTAAACCAAATATTCATCAAATCCATGAGACACATTCTTCTAAATCTATTTGTGTACTTTTTTGTACTTATTACTACTAAACATTATTATCTGAAGAACTGTACTGATCCTATAGTGTGTTGACCATGGATGTATTATAATATCTGGATAGGGTGTTACTAGTTTGGAGCTAAAGGACCCATGTGCTCGGGGGATTCTCGTGGTACTGCAGACTAGACCAGACTAAAATCTCGTGGGCTACGCAGACATTTCCCCATAGAACTCATCCATCCATTTCTGAGTCAGGGGGGTGTCAGTCAGAGCTGCACCCAGTCCACAGAGCACCAGCCCCTCACTGATCCTCCTGCAGGTGCTGAGATCTTTCAGTGGGGGCTTCAGGCAAAGTGGGGTTACAGTAAGTGTCTTGCACAGGGACACAACGACAGCAGTCATCATGTCGTGAAGTATGTCTCGTGGTAGGCTTGAACCCACGACCTTCAGGCTCAAAGGCCAATGCTCTACCAACTGAGCTCAATGTAAACTAAAACAAATTGACCTCAGCTGACAGAGAACCTGACAGAGAACCTGACAGAGAACCTGACAGAGAACCTGACAGAGAACCTGACCAAGAACCTGACCGAGAACCTGACAGAGAACTTGACAGAGAACCTGACAGAGAACCTGACCGAGAACCTGACCGAGAACCTGACCGAGAACCTGACAGAGAACCTGACCGAGAACCTGACAGAGAACCTGACAGAGAACCTGACAGAGAACCTGACCGAGAACCTGACCGAGAACCTGACCGAGAACCTGACAGAGAACCTGACAGAGAACCTGACCGAGAACCTGACAGAGAACCTGACAGAGAACCTGACAGAGAACCTGACAGAGAACCTGACAGAGAACCTGACAGAGAACCTGACAGAGAACCTGACAGAGAACCTGACCGAGAACCTACAGCTTTCAGAAAGATCAGATTTTGTGGGGATTTTAGTGTCCCTTGAACTTTTTTAATCCACACTTTAGTGCCACAAACTCTTCTCCATTGCCTCCCTCTCTAACTCCGCCCTAACACATCCAGCGTTCACGTCTCACCCTGAACTGTGGCCGTGGCTCCTCCAGGGACTCTGCGGGGGTGTCCAGGGTCCCCCACCTGTAGGCCAGCTCAGCCTCCCGCCTCTTCCACCTCTCCAGGAACAGCGTGGCCCACACCACGTTAAACAGAGCGAAGACCACGCAGCAGATGTCCTGGCTGGTCTGGAGGGAGAGCGCAGGGACACAGGTTAGTTTGACCCGACTGACCATGTGTTGTCTAACTATCAGTCTGTAAACTTTAGACATAAGATTAGATAAGATAAGACTTTATTGATCTCACACAGGAGACATTTACAATCAGTCTGTAACCCACTCTGGACTGGTTTAAGTTCCACAGAATGAAAGAAGCCTACACTGCAAAAAATGATCAAATATGAGGTAATAAATGCTTGAATCTAGTGTTTTTATCTTAATCTGACACATTCTGACTGTGTTAAAACAAATTCTCAAATGTGACAAAGCCATTTAGTCTGATTTCAAGATCTGCTGTCCCATTGGTAAATCTTGTTTTAAGGCAGCGCTCGAATCAAGATACATGAGTAGTGTTGGGGGCTTCTATACCAGACAATATAAGGTTTTGTGATATTAATACCTTGACACGTTTTGACGGATACAAAACCTTTAATTGTCTGGTATGGAACCCAATACTTTTAATTCTACTTACAAGACAAGATGAATCTCCCTAAACCAAGATGCATTTTGCCAAATTTGAGCAATTCTCTTATTCTCCATCACTTTTAGCAGTGTAAAGCTAATGTTGGTTAAAGGCCACATTGACTCCATCTCGATAACTGTTCTTATACTGTTCTAAACTCTTTTATTTCCAAATCAATGCTGTTCATTTGACTCTTCCAGGACCATAACAAAGACCCAGTGCGTAAAGCTGACACTGCTGACGGAGGAAACACCTGGAGACGAGTAAGTTCTGCACCTACTCATCCTCAGGAAACTTCGGACCTAAACCTTTACTCTAACGAAAAGTTCAAAATAGAGTAGAGAATATTTGCTTCTTATCACATTGGACGTTTATCAACATTTATGGCCATTGGTGTCTGCCCCTTCTGGACCAATGGCTCTGTGTGTTTTCTACCATTGCATTTATCTGATCTGTGTTGGCGAATTCAACGGTTTTACATGAAAACATTGACTTGAATCTTATCGTATCAACAAATGAAGACCATATGAAGCTTTCTTAAAACCTCTCTACAATCTGCTTTCAGTCGTGTGTAAAAACTCGTGTTGTTTTCTGTCTGATGGTTGGGTCTGGGTCTGGTACCTGATCGTCCTCCGCCAGGATCCACAGCAGGAAGCCGATAACTGCAGGGTACAGCATGGAGTTGGTGTAGAAGCCCAACCAGGCGAAGTACATCCCGATCTTCACCCCAAAGTAATCACAGATGTTATCTAAAATGGGCCAAGAGAGCACGGTTACAGACCAGCAAAAGTAAGTAAGTAAGTCATGTTTATTTATATAGCGCATTTCACAGACCAAGGTACAGACCCAAAGCTCTTTACAATGTTCAGAGTCAGATATTGTTCCAGTCATTCCACACACGGTGATGACGGAAGCGAGTCCAGAACACACTGGACCATCAGCTCCAACACCATCCATTCACTCTCTCATCTACATTCAGACCTATTGTGCATGTTTTTAGTGGTAGGGGAAACCGGAGCACCCGGAGGAAACCTACGCACACACATGGAGAACATGCAAACTCCACTCAGAAAGGCCCTGTTCCGACTGGGATTCGAACCACTCAGCCACCGTGCCGCCCTAATGTTAATATTGTGTTTTGGTATAAAGACTGAAGCTTTACAAATGTCAGCCTACACTTTTTTCTGGTCTATATGCAACCATGGCATGTTACACCTCATTTTAAAGAGAAACCTTATAATAGTAAAAATTTGCTCAAATCTTAGTGGCACTGTAGTTAAAGCTTGTGCCTCACAGTAAGAAGGTCCTGGGTTCAATTCCACCTCTTTGTGTGTGGAGTTTGCAGGTTTCCTCTGGGTGCTCCGGTTTCCCCTACCACTAAAAACATGTACAGTAGTTCTGGCATGAGCCTCCTTTACTGGTGATCCCATCTCTGTGTGGAGTGAGAGACAAAACGCCTAAAAAACTATTGTAAAGCCCTTTGTGACTCTGATTTGTGAAAGGCGCTATAAAGATCACTTACTTACTTGAAACACCAGCAATAAATGGGAGATTCAAAATATTATGTTTTTGTGTTTTTGACAGCCATGAAATCAGGACTAAAACAAAGCGCTATGTACCCAGAGGCTGGCGCTCGCAGACGGCCTGCACCCAGGACGTCATGAGCTGGTTCAGGATCCGCTGCTCGTGAAGAGGGAACATCTGGTGGATCACTCTCCTGGCCACCAGCTCTGGAACTGAGGCACACACGACAAAAAGATTTAGGTGGCTCTATTTGCTGAAGACGGTAGATTTAATGTCAAGTTCACACCGGTTGGTTAATTCTAACTGGAACATGTCTTGATGACTTTGGGGGAAAATGCTTTGTTGACCTGTTTTCAAAGATGTAAGTCCGATTCAATGAAGTTTTGTATGGACCTAAATCACAACAGCGGCCGACTCACAGGATTTTACTAAGTTGATTTGCCGACAACAGATTAGAGAATCAGACGGTCTGGACACAGGAGATGGAAGAATAGACAGATACAGACACTTAGAGCCGTTGGGCCATAGGGAGTGGGATGACCTACGTCCATAAAAGTTGACAAATGTCCTTAAATGTCCAGGATCATCACTGTCCTTAGACTTTCCTACATCTGCAAGGAACCACAAAATGACCCAGTGGGATAAAAGTGAGGGATCTCTGGAGCCACATCGAGACTTACTTCGCGCTGGGGCAAACTTTCAAAACACAAAAAAATGTATTGAGGTAATTCAGTCTGAGTAACTAGTTCCTGGCTCTCAAAACTGTTTGGTTCTAACACTGTTTTTGGCTACTACTGTAGCCACATCTGCCCTGGGGCACACTGCACTGACAGAGACGAGAAAAACAGTCTGTGCCATTGGCCCCTCCCACCACTAACCATTCACACACACACACCAAACTTATTCTGACGTGGATAAACTGACTTATACAGCTTCACTTTACAGCTGTCCCGCTATGGCCCCTGATGTTCCCAGAGGTCTCCCATCACAGTACTAACCAGGCCTTACCCTACACAACTACAGAGATGTGACAGGATCTGGCTTTTCCATGCAGATATGGTCACAATGAAGGATAGCACATTGTATAATTTATTCTCAAACCTTCAACTTCACAATACTCTTGCTATTGTCACAACAAAAATAAAAGTTTGGTACCCCAGCTTTAAAGCGACAGTGTGAATTGTTTTGCACTCTTGTTGGTCTGATCGAGTCACTACATCTACAACCACAGTTCTGTTGCCCCTGAGTTGGCTTCAAGGCGTTGCGTTTGACCCTAAATTTAAGCACACTATACATGTGTTAGAAAGCGAGCGTACTGATTGGCTGTCCCTCCAGGAAGTGGATGTTGTGAAGCACCTCCCCCTGTTTGGCTCGCAGGTTGTCCAGCCAGTACTTGATGATGCTCTGCCGCTCCTGAGGACACACACAGGAGGATTGTTTACTTCCGGGTGGATCATCAAGCCTATTGGTCCTCCTTATTGTCAATCATTCTGGTGACACGTGCTCGTCCAATCAGACCAGAGAGTTTAGTTCAAAAATGGAAAAGGGCGGTTCTTTCCTAAAATTTGGGGAAATCTCTCGATATACTTTTAATGTTCAGAACAATGCGACAAGATTCAGTTTAGCATCTCACCTAAAGTGCAGTAGCGCAATAATCTGATGACATTTATAACAGAGATAAATATATTTTGGCATAGCCTTAAATCAAAACAGTAGTAATCTCGGAGGACTTTACAAAGTTCTTGATTCTCCAACACAGATCAGAGAATCAAACAGTTCAATCACAAGAAATGCAATGATAAGAAACAGAGACATTGGTCCATAATACTGCTCCACCCAGCGGCTACTCCACCTCTGCTGCTGTGACCCGTCCTGCTCCACCCAGAGGCTACTCCACCTCTGCTGCTGTGACCCGTCCTGCTCCACCCAGCGGCTACTCCACCTCTGCTGCTGTGACCCGTCCTGCTCCACCCAGAGGCTACTCCACCTCTGCTGCTGTAACCCGTCCTGCTCCACCCAGAGGCTACTCCACCTCTGCTGCTGTGACCCGTCCTGCTCCACCCAGAGGCTACTCCACCTCTGCTGCTGTGACCCGTCCTGCTCCACCCAGCAGCTACTCCACCTCTGCTGCTGTGACCCGTCCTGCTCCACCCAGAGGCTACTCCACCTCTGCTGCTGTGACCCCTCCTGCTCCACCCAGAGGCTACTCCACCTCTGCTGCTGTGACCCGTCCTGCTCCACCCAGAGGCTACTCCACCTCTGCTGCTGTGACCTGTCCTGCTCCACCCAGAGGCTACTCCACCCCTGCTGCTGTGACCCGTCCTGCTCCACCAGAGGCTACTCCACCTCTGCTGCTGGACCGTCTGCTCCACCCAGAGGCTACTCCACCTCTGCTGCTGTGACCCGTCCTGCTCCACCCAGAGGCTACTCCACCTCTGCTGCTGTGACCCGTCCTGCTCCACCCAGCGGCTACTCCACCTCTGCTGCTGTGACCCGTCCTGCTCCACCCAGAGGCTACTCCACCTCTGCTGCTGTGACCCGTCCTGCTCCACCCAGCGGCTACTCCACCTCTGCTGCTGTGACCTGTCCTGCTCCACCCAGAGACTACTCCACCTCTGCTGCTGTGACCCGTCCTGCTCCACCCAGAGGCTACTCCACCTCTGCTGCTGTGACCCGTCCTGCTCCACCCAGAGGCTACTCCACCTCTGCTGCTGTGACCCGTCCTGCTCCACCCAGAGGCTACTCCACCTCTGCTGCTGTGACCCGTCCTGCTCCACCCAGAGGCTACTCCACCTCTGCTGCTGTGACCCGTCCTGCTCCACCCAGCGGCTACTCCACCTCTGCTGCTGTGACCCGTCCTGCTCCACCCAGAGGCTACTCCACCTCTGCTGCTGTGACCCGTCCTGCTCCACCCAGAGGCTACTCCACCTCTGCTGCTGTGACCCGTCCTGCTCCACCCAGGGGCTACTCCACCTCTGCTGCTGTGACCCGTCCTGCTCCACCCAGAGGCTACTCCACCTCTGCTGCTGTGACCCGTCCTGCTCCACCCAGGGGCTACTCCACCTCTGCTGCTGTGACCCGTCCTGCTCCACCCAGAGGCTACTCCACCTCTGCTGCTGTGACCCGTCCTGCTCCACCCAGAGGCTACTCCACCTCTGCTGCTGTGACCCGTCCTGCTCCACCCAGGGGCTACTCCACCTCGCTGCTGTGACCTGTCCTGCTCCACCCAGAGGCTACTCCACCTCTGCTGCTGTGACCCGTCCTGCTCCACCCAGCGGCTACTCCACCTCTGCTGCTGTGACCTGTCCTGCTCCACCCAGAGGCTACTCCACCTCTGCTGCTGTGACCCCTCCTGCTCCACCCAGAGGCTACTCCACCTCTGCTGCTGTGACCCGTCCTGCTCCACCCAGAGACTACTCCACCTCTGCTGCTGTGACCCGTCCTGCTCCACCCAGAGGCTACTCCACCTCTGCTGCTGTGACCCGTCCTGCTCCACCCAGCGGCTACTCCACCTCTGCTGCTGTGACCCGTCCTGTTCCACCCAGCGGCTACTCCACCTCTGCTGCTGTGACCCGTCCTGCTCCACCCAGCGGCTACTCCACCTCTGCTGCTGTGACGCGTCCTGCTCCACCCAGCGGCTACTCTACCTCTGCTGCTGTGACCCGTCCTGCTCCACCCAGAGGCTACTCCACCACTGCTGCTGTGACCCGTCCTGCTCCACCCAGAGGCTACTCCACCTCTGCTGCTGTGACCCGTCCTGCTCCACCCAGAGGCTACTCCATCTCTGCTGCTGTGACCCGTCCTGCTCCACCCAGCGGCTTCTCCACCTCTGCTGCTGTGACCCGTCCTGCTCCACCCAGCGGCTACTCCACCTCTGCTGCTGTGACCCTTCCTGCTCCACCCAGAGGCTACTCCACCTCTGCTGCTGTGACCCGTCCTGCTCCACCCAGCGGCTACTCCACCTCTGCTGCTGTGACGCGTCCTGCTCCACCCAGCGGCTACTCTACCTCTGCTGCCGTGACCTGTCCTGCTCCACCCAGCGGCTACTCCACCTCTGCTGCTGTGACCTGTCCTGCTCCACCCAGAGGCTACTCCACCTCTGCTGCTGTGACCCGTCCTGCTCCACCCAGAGGCTACTCCACCTCTGCTGCTGTGACCCGTCCTGCTCCACCCAGAGGCTACTCCACCTCTACTGCTGTGACCCGTCCTGCTCCACCCAGAGGCTACTCCACCTCTGCTGCTGTGACCCGTCCTGCTCCACCCAGAGGCTACTCCACCTCTGCTGCTGTGACCCGTCCTGCTCCACCCAGAGGCTACTCCATCTCTCTGCTGTGACCCGTCCTGCTCCACCCAGAGGCTACTCCACCTCTGCTGCTGTGACCCGTCCTGCTCCACCCAGAGGCTACTCCACCTCTGCTGCTGTGACCCGTCCTGCTCCACCCAGAGGCTACTCCACCTCTGCTGCTGTGACCCGTCCTGCTCCACCCAGAGGCTACTCCACCTCTGCTGCTGTGACCCGTCCTGCTCCACCCAGAGGCTACTCCACCTCTGCTGCTGTGACCTGTCCTGCTCCATCCAGAGGCTACTCCACCTCTGCTGCTGTGACCCGTCCTGCTCCACCCAGAGGCTACTCCACCTCTGCTGCTGTGACCCGTCCTGCTCCACCCAGAGGCTACTCCACCTCTGCTGCTGTGACCCGTCCTGCTCCACCCAGAGGCTACTCCACCTCTGCTGCTGTGACCCGTCCTGCTCCACCCAGAGGCTACTCCACCTCTGCTGCTGTGACCTGAAGGGCTGTCCTCAGACCATCTTTATGCATGTATATGAGAGTACCTGCTATTGCTAGTATACAGTAGGTACACTAATGTGCTTTAACAGGGAGAGAGGTCAAGAGTGTGATATTTCTCTATTTGCAGCTTGTGATTTGAAAATATACATACACAAAAATTATAATATGAAATAGATTGACATTGCCTATTTTTATATATATTGTTTTAGATTTTAAATACAGCACACGCCGACACAGGAACTGATTGACACTTTCATCCATGTATCAACAACTACAAAATTATATATTATATCATGAAGTGTTTCCATTCTTTCTGGTCAGATTTTGAATCATGCTGAAACAATATTTTGCCAAATTTAAAATCTCAATCGTGATCTAAAAAAAAGTGACATATTGAACCAGTCTGTGCACTTCTGGGAATAGCCTTTCTGTGTAAATCTGCCAAATTATCCACATTTCACATTTTTGACCTGTCACCGGCTCAGAGGACGCAGATCTGAGCCTCGTCATTCTGAACATCTGGCTCCAGGATTAACCCGCTTTAGATGAAGCTGCTCACACACAGAGGTTTGACTGCTGCTGCTACCGGCACTCAGCGACATTGACTTTAGCACTTTGTTCTGTAAAGTGCCACGTGTTAGTTCATTTTTAGTATGATTCCCATTAGCAACTGAAACATCTTCTCCATGTGGTCTGTGCCTGTATTTGCCTGTTTATTACTAAGAATCTCCTCTGACTTTAGCACTTTTTTCTGTAAAGTGCTGAGTTTATTTTTATTCAGATCCCCATTAGCAACTGTAACATACGGTAGCTAATCATTCTGGGGTCTATACCTGTGTTTGCCTCTTCATCATTAAGAATCTTCACTGACTTTAGCACTTTGATCTGTAAAGTGCCGTGTGTTTTTTGTTTAAATGTAGATCCTTTTTAGCTACTGACACATACAATACCTATCCTTCCTGGGGTCTATACCTATGTTTGCCTGTTTATCATTAAGAATCTCAATTTACTTTAGCACTTTGTTCTGTAAAGTGCTGCGTGTTTGTTTTGACCTGTGAGGTGAAGAAGCAAAGCTCGCTCTCGATGTTCTCGTAGATGTTGTCCTCGTCGCAGGAGAAGCGCCGCATGCCTCCTCCGAACTGCGGCTTGACGGCCTTGTGCATCCCCATGTGCTCGGCTCCTCGCAGCAGACTGAGGACAGAGAAATTAGAGATTAGAGATGAGCTTTAAACACAGAGTGAGAGCAGTCAAAACGACTCTCTCTGGGATTACAGCCCAGAGCTTTTACCGCTCCGATATTCCCATCTGGATTATCTGTAATAATCCTGGTATCGTTTATCCAGCGGCCATACTGATAATTAGTATTCTAGGGCTATGTGTGCTCCTCTGAGTCCCAGCAGGAGACCAGTCCCTGTGCTCCTCTGAGTCCCAGCAGGAGACCAGTCCCTGTGCTCCTCTGAGTCCCAGCAGGAGACCAGTCCCTGTGCTCCTCAGAGTCCCAGCAGGAGGCCAGTCCCTGTGCTCCTCAGAGTCCCAGCAGGAGACCAGTCCCTGTGCTCCTCAGAGTCCCAGCAGGAGACCAGTCCCTGTGCTCCTCAGAGTCCCAGCAGGAGGCCAGTCCCTGTGCTCCTCAGAGTCCCAGCAGGAGACCAGTCCCTGTGCTCCTCAGAGTCCCAGCAGGAGGCCAGTTCCCGTGCTCCTCTGAGTCCCAGCAGGAGGCCAGTCCCTGTGCTCCTCAGAGTCCCAGCAGGAGGCCAGTCCCTGTGCTCCTCAGAGTCCCAGCAGGAGGCCAGTCCCTGTGGTCCTCAGAGTCCCAGCAGGAGGCCAGTCCCTGTGCTCCTCAGAGTCCCAGCAGGAGGCCAGTCCCTGTGCTCCTCAGATGTCACAGATGTACTTTGGTGCGAGGCCACAGAGACTTGTACAGAGCTGATATTCATTTACAGTAAAATCAATTCAATGTATTTTTGTAGAGACCTAAACCACAACAGCAGTCATCTCGGAGGACTTTGCAAAGTTGTCAATTCGCCAACAACAGATCCGAAAATTAGTTCAAACACAGGAAATGCAAGAATAACAAACACGTAGGGAGTGGAATGACTAATGTCCACAAATGTCCTTAAATATCCCGGATCCTCACTGTCTCTAGACCCTCAAAGTCTAATTATTGGCGTCCAAATTGCCAACACTCGTTTAAACTTAGAATTATCTGAGGCGTGTATTTATATTTAACAAAACACAAAAATAAAAATGGCTCCCGCTGTGCAGACTGGATGTAACAGCAGAGTTGGACGGCTCTCCAGAGTTAATTTGATTCACTTCCATCCAAAAGTAGCTTCCTGTTATATCAGTTTAAGACTTTTACTGAAACAAACCAAACTAAACTAACGAGGCGGTACAGGAATTTACACGTTTTTTGCCAAGATGAAGGTTCAGCGACTGAGAACTAGGCCAGAAGAGACTTATTATCTTCGGAAAAATCGAAAACACATTTATTTGACAATGAAAAGAACCCCGTCACGTTGAGGCTCCATCAGACCTGAACGACTTTGGCCTACACTGACTTTAGCACTTTGTTTTTTAAAGTGCCACATTTCTCTGTAAAGTGCTGTGTGTTTGTTGATTTTAATTCAGATCCCCATAAGTAACTGTAACATACGGGGGCTAATCCTTCTGGGGTCTATAATTGTGTTTGCCTGTTTGTCATTAAGAATCTCCACTGTTTCCAGCACTTTGTTGTGTAAAGTGCTGCGTGTTTGTTTGTTTATATTAACATCCCCATTAGCTACTTACACATACGGTGCTATTCATTCTGGGGTCTGTGTCTGTGTTTTCCTGCTCATCATTAAGAATCTTCACTGAATTTAGCACTTTGTTCTGTAAAGTGCTGCGTGCAGGTTTGTTGAGTTCTATTCAGATCCCCATTAGCTGATGACGCATACAGTAGCTATCCTTCCTATGGTCTGTGCCAATGTTTACTTGTTCATCATAAAGAATCTCAACTGACTTTAGCACTTTGTTCGGTGAAGTGCCGCCTGTTTGTTTTGACCTGCGAGGTGAAGAAACACAGCTCGCTCTCTCGCGATGAGTTTAAGACATTTACTGAAACAAATCAAACTAAACTAACGAGGCGGCCCAGGAATTTACAGGGTTTTTGCCAAGATGAAGGTTCAGCGACTGAGAACTAGGCCAGAAGAGACTCATTATCTTGGGAAAAATCGAAAACACATTTATTTGACAATGAAAATAACCCTGTCACGTTGAGGCTCCATTAGACCTGAACGACTTTGACCTAGTTCATCGTAAGTACGTAATGTTTTTTATTTAGCGCTTTTTACAGACTACAATCACAAAGCGCTTTACAATTGTTGTTTTTTTAAAATTGTATTTTATTTGTTTTATTACTTTATGGCGTCTTTGCACAGTACATCTCAACATGATCAAAGCCAAGTACCATATGAGACGCACTTTTTATTTGTTTTGTTTATCTTTTCAATAATTGGGCCAGACAAGAAAAGTAAAAAGAATGTACGATAATAATAATAATAATAATAATGCTAAGGTAAATGTTTTTTGGGCTTTATCCTCGCACTCTACTGAGAGATAGAGCGGGGTCACCAGTCCAGGATGCGCATTGCAGACCTATTGTACATGTTTTTAGCAATAGGAGAAACCGGAGCACCTGGAGGAAACCTATGCAGGCACGGGGAGAACATGCAAACTCCACTCAGAGATAGAGCGGGGTCGCCAGTCCAGATGCGGCAGGGCAAAACTACTGTACATGTTTTTAGGGATAGGGGAAACCAGAGCACCTGGAGGAAACCGGAGCACCTGGAGGAAACCGGAGCACCTGGAGGAAACCGACGCAGACACAGGGAGAACATGCAAACTCCACTCAGAGATAGAGCGGGGTCGCCAGTACAGGAGGCGCAGGGTTTACATATTGTACATGTTTTTAGGGATAGGGGAAACCGGAGCACCTGGAGGAAACCTTTGCAAACACGGGAGAACATGCAAACTCCACTCAGAAATAGAGCGGGGTCGCCAGTCCAGAAGGCGCAAGACAGACCTATTGTACATGTTGTTAGTGGTAGGAGAAACCGGAGCACCTGGAGGAAACCGGAGCACCTGGAGAAAACTTACGCAGACACGGTGTCTGGAGGTGGAATCAAACCCAGAACCCAAAAAGTCATAAAAAATCTGTTGTCGTTGTGTGTTCTTACTTCTCGAAGGAGGTGGTAATGAAGAAGGCGTTAGCTTGCGTGTGCTTGTGCTGTCGGACCTGGATGTTGACCTGTGGGACGCCCACTCGGATCTGGTTCAGGAGCCAGAGCAGGGTGTGGTCGTCGATGCTGTCTGCAAGAGCAACACACCTGCGTGAAATTCAACCAGCAACCCTCCAACCAACACATCAGTGAGGCTAATGAGGGCTAGCACATTAGGCTAGCCCTCATTAGCCTAATGTGCTAGTTTTACACATAGGAATTTACACTTAGGCATTGTTAAAGTTGAAGGTTTTAGATTGCTTCCTTGTTATGCTAAAGCTAGGGATGTTATACTTGCTAAAGCTAGGGATGATAGGGATACTTATACTAAATCTAGGGATAAAGACAAAGGAAGGTTTCTCATCCATCATCTGTACTTCAGTTAGCGGGTTTTCCCTACATTTTGTTCTTATCCAAAGAACTTTTTCAAGGGAATGGAAGCTAAGCCACGAGTTGAAAATGTAAAACCTGTGGGTGTGGTTAAGTCATTAACAAGGTCAGCTACAGAGTGGCAGGAACCCTGCTAGGGCTAACGATCCTAACTCATTAGCATGTCACTGACCGTTAGGGCGTTGTTTTTAGGACGTCGTCATAACGCCCTAACAATAGATAAGGTCAGTCCTGTCCTGCTCCACCCAGCGGTTACTCCACCTCTGCTGCTGTGACCTGAAAGGCTGTTGCTGATAATTGCTATTGTTAGCTTTTTAGAATGATCACCTGAGTGTCTCCTACAGTGATCAATATCAAGTATCTAACTATCTATCTATCTAGTATAGTGAAGTAGATATGCAATGATATGTGTCAAACAAGCTCTCTGGGGAGCTATTTGAAAGGGGGTTGGCGAGCTACAGGTTGGAGGCCCCTGGTGTATGTCATGACTGAGGCAGTATTTTGCAGCAGAGGGAGGTGTTTTTGTCTGTACCTGGGAAGGTCATGAGGATGTCGCAGTTCTCCGTCGGAACCATCTTCAGCCACGACTTCCGGGACATGATGTAATGTCGCGCCTGCAGCAGACGCTTCCCAAACAGTTTATCTGGAAACACGGACCACAACACAGTGATCAAAAATACATCCAGATTAAAGGATACATATTATGCATTATTTTTGGCTGTTCAAAATCACAATGAGACTATTTACCGTACTTTCTGGACTATAAGGCGCACCTGTATATAAGCCGCACCACGTACATTACTGTATGTATGCATCCCTGAGTTTCTCCATTGAGGGATCAATAAAATATGTATCTACTGTATCTATTTATCTATTCATAAATAATTAAACAGTTATGTCCACATATAGGCCGCACTTGAATATAAACCGCAACTGTACACAACATGATTCAATGACGAGGAGTTTACCAGTTTTACCATTAGCTTCCATCAGTCATTCACCTTCATCTGTTTTGACAATGAACCAGTGTCCCATAGCAACTAAAACAACTCTACCATAATATAAATACACATATTAGCTGCATCGCTATATAAGCCGCAGGGTCAAATTATGGTACTTTGTCATGTCATTTTTAAGATGTGAAGAAATATGAATAGATAATATATGGTGATACAAGTAAGAAGAGCTCCCTCTACAGGAGGAAAGACGCCAGTGCAGAGACCTGAGAACAGGACTAATGCGGCCGTACTTCACAGTCGTTTCCGTACATACATTATGAAACGCACGGCAGATGTAATCACAGACTATGATGTTTACTTTGGGCGTTTGTTTTTCACACCTCAGCTGCTGCATCGCTCTTAAAAGCACCATGATCCTGTTCAGTTTTGCTTTTGCTTCATGTCGTTAAACAAAACACATGCAGCGAGAGAATCAAACACAGGAAATGCAATGATAAAATCTCATAGAGACACTGGTCCATAAGGGGCCGATGACCAATGTCCATGAAGGTCAAAAAATGTTATTACCATATTTTTTGGACTATAAGCCGCTGTATTTTTCCTGCATTTTGAGGGCTGTGGCTTATAGTGAGGTGCGGCTTCATTTAAAAAAAAAAAAAAATCCTGTGTTGCCAAAAAACATTTTGCCAAGTAAGAATACACCAACAGAATTGATGAGTAGTTCACAGAGGTCCAAGTAAATCTAATATTTCTCAACCAAGCAGAATAAATATAGTTTAAACTTTTCATATAATAAACCGCTTTTTTAGAGTGAAGAAAGACCAGTAGATGTTCTTACTTATGTTTCTGCGTCACACTGGAAGACACAATAGACGTTAGGGTTTTTGAGAAACATTTTTCAATATTGCAATGTGGGATATGTGCGTCTTATAATCCAGTGCGGCTTGTACAAGTAAAAAATAAAATAAAAATCTACAAATTGGAGCCTGCGTCTTTTAGTCAGGTGTGGCTTATAGTCCGGAAAATATGGTAAATATCAAGTGTCCTGGATCATCGCCACTGTCCTTAGACCCTCCTGTATCTGTCCAAATCAGACTGTAAATATTAACATCTATGGGCAGTTTCAAAAAGGCTGCGGGGGCTGGAAAATGTGAAAAATTGCATCTGCACACCCTGTAAAGCCGATTTGAGGGGAAAAAATATATACCTACATTAGCATTGAATAATTCTTATTCTGAGTCCACCCCCGCTGGCCTGGGGTGGTATTGCAAGCATGTCAGCGCACGTCATTTTGGCCATTTTTAAGTCGGGACCCGGCCCCACTGGTCCATATACACACATTAAAAAAATATACCTGGCTTTGCTTTTCCCTGTGCTCTTAAACGCATCACTGCTCGTTGTCTCCATCCAATCCCATTGTAAGACGATCACATGTGTCTTAATCGATTGGGAGTACATTTTGGAAGAGGTGGAAGATTTGTTTTTCACTAAATAAAATAATTTCAATAATACTTTATAACCCACTCATTGAGATGTGACTCATACAGGAGACAAGAGAGAAGAGGCTGATAGTAGCATGGATGGATCTAAAAATCTAAAAATATATACAGAATCTCTTGTACTTCTACCGCTGGAAATAGGGCTGGAAAGTCTCGTCCCAGAAGCACTTCCGGTTCATTGCTCGGATACAAACAAACCGTCAGCTGTTCGAAGAGGCTGTTTAAATGAATGGTGCAAAATGCTCTGCTTTGTTTTCGGCTGTTATCATCAAAGTTTACATGAAGCATGCTCATTTTTTGGGTTTCCCAAAGACCAACTGAAGCTGTGGGAAAAGCTATGCAGTTCTGATAAAATATTTTGTCTGATTTCAGAGACAGTTAACTTGAACATGTATTCAAGCTAACTTGTAGCTAATGCTAACCTGTAATAGTGCACGGCCAAGCCTTTAATTGTGGCTTGTATTTTAAGATAAGAAACTTTATTTATGTCACACAGGATAAATATTGTCTCTCAAAAATTTATTTATTTGAGAGATAAAGGAGGAACATATTAACACGTATTAAATAACATTTAACACATTTTCAAATATAACAGAAAACGGACAATCATTCGTATTAAATGAATAGGTAACCCAACTACATCATGTTATTTTTGACAGCACAGCAAAAAGGCCCAATGTGAAGCTGCAGTGAGTGTGAAGTGGAGATGGAGCTGATGAACAGATAGAAAACTGATCATTCATAAACATTGGCTTATAACCAAAGCAGCAAAGATAGCTGTAAGGGACAACGTCAATTTATTTGCATAGGAATAGTGTTTCTATATTTTCTTTCTGATGCGTGATAGTGGATTAAAATACAATGAGTTTGAACCATAGACTGTATGTATGAACACGGCCCTGTGCCTTTCTCATCTCCCCGTCATAGAAACTTCAGGACATGGTCAGTTCACAGCTAATTCCGACCGTTCACTCAGTTTTTCTGTCCCAGAGACGAAATGTGTCCAAAATAACACAGGAAAGTCCTTTAACGAGGAAGAAGTTGGCGATCTCTGCACCATACAAGTGGCACGTGTGGTTTGTTTGTATCCACGGGTGGAAATCTCGCAAAATCTCGCACTTCCGCTTTCCAGCCCTATACATCGTTCCATCTGTTAGTAAATTGTGCTCATAAACCTGGCCTCTATGACAGTTCCCTCATTTCTTCTGGATGGTTTTAATAAAGTGGCAATAAAAGTAAGTATTGTGTTTATAACTCAAACTTCCCTGGCAGGTTCATTGCTGCTGATGCGTGTCTCAGCTGCGACTCGGGAACTTGTAAAATATTCTTTCTGAGACACATTTGAGATTAAAAAAAGAATGAAAGTAGCATTTACTGACCATAAAGATGCAGTTAGTAGTTCAATTCAATACAGTGTGTTTTTGTGTAGCCTTAAATCACGACAGTAGTGATCTCAGAGGACTTCACAAAACTGTCGATTCGCAGACACAGATCAGAGAATCAAATCAAAAGAAATGAATTGATTTTGCTCTTGTTCAAACACATAAAAGCAAAACTGGTCATCGCATTTATTTAATTTTAACGCTTGAATCTATAATGCCAATGATAATACTACTGGGTCTATCAGTCTGAACCAATGTGGGGGCGGGTCCTGACTCAAAAAGGTCCATGAGCACGTGCGCTGACATGCTGTAATCTTAGTCTAGGCCGGTGGGGGTGTACCCGGAAAGAGAATTACCCAATGCTTTTGTATGGCGTCTTCATTGCTCTCAACAACGGCTTTATGGTCGAAAAGTCGGCTCTTGGCTCAATGCTACGTTCCAGATGCTGTCGATCATGAGGGGAGTATATTTTTTGGACCAGTCTAGTTTAGCCGCTGTGGACTTCAGAATATATATTAATAATAATAATATGACGATGAAAAAAAATATCTAAAATAGTCAAAGCCATAATTTGGTCAATGTACCTCAGGTAAACAGACACGGACACGCACACATGCACATACACACATACACACATACATATACACACACACACTGACATATACACACAGACACACACACACACACTGACATATACATAGACACACACACACACATACACACACATCTACACAGACACACACACACTGACATATATACACAGACACACACACACACACTGACATATACAGGGACACACACACACACACTGACATATACACAGACACACACACACATACACACACATCTACACAGACACACACACACTGACATATATACACAGACACACACACACACACTGACATATACACAGACACACACACACATACACATATCTACACACACACACACACACTGACATAGACAGGGACACACACACACACACTGATATATACACAGACACACACACACATACACACACATCTACACAGACACACACACACTGACATATATACACAGACACACACACACACACACTGACATATACACAGACACACACACACATACACATATCTACACAGACACACACACACTGACATATATACACAGACACACGCACACACATATACACATATCTACACAGATACACACACACACTGACATATATACACAGACACACGCACACATATATACACACAGACACGCACACACATACATATATACACAGACACACACACATATATACACAGACACACGCACACACATATATACACAGACACACGCACATATACACACAGACACATACACACAGACACGCACACACATACATATATACACAGACACACACACATATACACACAGACACATACACACAGACACATATACACAGAGACACAGACACACACACACATATACACACAGACACATACTGTATACACACAGACACCACACACACATAGACATACACGCACACATTTTCACACATACACACACACACACAACACAACACAACCAGCTCTTATGTTCTTAACGCGTCTCTGTCTTTTCTCTCCCTTCTCCAACAGTTAGCTACACCGGCCCTGTCTCTGCTGCTGAGGGCGTACGCAGGGCAGGTTGAGAACCTCTGGTGCAGCTTTCTGTGGACCAACTGTGAAAAGTTCTTTGTTTTAAAAGTATGTGCTGCACTTCTCACTGCTGTTCGCCAACTGTGTGTTTGCTCATAGAGTAACGTTAAATATTGTCTTTAGCGTTTAGCCGTGACGCTCACGTGACCACCGGCCGCTAATATCTTTCTGTTCTGTACATATTTATTGAGCGGCTAATGCTAACTCAAGGCTATATAAAAGTCATACAACCAGTCCAGCAGCTAGCATTGATCTATGACCATCCACTGTACTGTATGATATGTCTGGGTCAGATTCAGATTCAGTTCTTTTTTGCAGTAAAGCCACATTGGAATGCATGTGCAAGAGTCTGCAGTGTGTATCAGACAAGGCAGGGGAAAAAACAGCTAAAAAGTACAAGAAACAATCATTAAAGTGCTTTGTTCAGACTGATGACAGCTGAAAGAAGCTGTTTGCATTTTAGCATGTCGTGCATCTTAGCTAACGATATCTTCTGCCAGAGGGAAGAAGCTGGAACATGGCTTTTCCAGGAGCCAGAAGAGTCATTGATTATTCTAAGAGCTGGATTTAAGAGTCTGGATTCATAGAGAACCTCCAGAACAGACACAGTGGTCTCTCTCTGGTCTCTCTCTGGTCTCTCTCTGGTCTCTCTGGTCTCTCTCTGGTCTCTCTCTGGTCTCTCTCTAGTCTCTCTCTCTGGTCTCTCTCTGGTCTCTCTCTCTGGTCTCTCTCTCTGGTCTCTCTCTGGTCTCTCTCTGGTCTCTCTCTGGTCTCTCTGGTCTCTCTCTCTAGTCTCTCTCTCTGGTCTCTCTCTGGTCTCTCTCTCTGGTCTCTCTCTCAGGTCTCTCTCTCTGGTCTCTCTCTCAGGTCTCTCTCTGGTCTCTCTCTGGTCTCTCTGGTCTCTCTCTCTAGTCTCTCTCTCTGGTCTCTCTCTCTGGTCTCTCTCTGGTCTCTCTCTGGTCTCTCTGGTCTCTCTCTCTAGTCTCTCTCTCTGGTCTCTCTCTGGTCTCTCTCTGGTCTCTCTCTGGTCTCTCTCTGGTCTCTCTGGTCTCTCTCTCTAGTCTCTCTCTCTGGTCTCTCTCTGGTCTCTCTGGTCTCTCTCTCTAGTCTCTCTCTCTGGTCTCTCTCTGGTCTCTCTCTGGTCTCTCTCTAGTCTCTCTCTGGTCTCTCTCTGGTCTCTCTCTAGTCTCTCTCTGGTCTCTCTCTGGTCTCTCTCTCTGGTCTCTCTCTCTAGTCTCTCTCTCTGGTCTCTCTCTGGTCTCTCTCTCTAGTCTCTCTCTCTGGTCTCTCTCTGGTCTCTCTCTGGTCTCTCTCTGGTCTCTCTCTGGTCTCTCTCTGGTCTCTCTCTGGTCTCTCTCTGGTCTCTCTCTGGTCTCTCTCTGGTCTCTCACTTCAGTCGTCTGTTCAGGTGGTTAGAAACGTTTATAAAGTGTGTGTGATGCTACTTCACAGATTTCCCTCATCACAAGTTATTTTTAGAACCAAACACCCACGACAAACCAGGAGCCACTGTACCAGGAGCCACTGTACCATGAGCCACTGTACCATGAGCCACTGTACCATGAGCCACTGTACCATGAGCCACTGTACCATGATATCATGTCGATGATGTAATTCTACCATGAAATTCAGATACAGATAAAGAAAGTATTCTATATTCATTAGTTTTGGATCATCAAGACTATTGGTCCTCCCAACTGTCAATCATTCTGGTGATACATGCTCGTCCAATCAGACCAGAGAGTTTTGTTTAAAAGTGGAGAGGGCGGTTTTCTCTTCCTATAAACCCATATACTTGTAAATTAGCCAAACGACGTCACAGACTTGTGTACAAATATCCAAAACAACAACGACGTTTAGATCAGGGGTCTCCAACCTTTTTAAATTGGAGAGCTACTTTTATAAAAACAACAATGGCAGAGAGCTACTCCTTTTACCATTTTAATGCAGTTATAGTCTGTATCATAACTACAGCGAACCATGGAGAACATATTATACCATTACACGTACCGTATCCCTGCAGTGATTAAAAAATTTATAGTTAAAAAAGAGGGGGTGGCGAGCTAACGGTAGCTCCCGAGGCACAGGTTGGAGACCCCAGATTTAGATGAACCCGAGCAAAAAGCGGAGCCTCCACCGGGAGAAGACTGTACCTTTAAATAATACATTTGTCCAAACTGAAAGTCCAGGAAAAGTAACACACTATGAACAAATCAGACCATTTTGTGTCGTCTCTGTCTGAGGAGAAAACACTTTATCTTCTGTTTACTTGTCTGTTTAGAATGACCCGTGTGAGTCAATATCTGCCTCTTTGAGCTGAGAGCTGATTGGCCGATTGAGGGTGGTCCTTTCCGACGGAAAAAGCGGATAAAAAGAAGTGACGGAGGTTAATGTTTTTGTGGTTTGAAAGTTAAGTCCCCCAGCTTTAATTAATGACTCCCGAAGCAGTTTATCCGGAAACATAACACAGTGATTAAATCTATTAGAAAAATTTAAGAATGAATATTATGCATTATTTTTGGCTGTTCAAAATTGCAATGAGACTATTTACCGTACGTTCTGGACTATAAGGCGCACTTGTATAAGCCTCACCACCTACATTTTTTAAAAAAGCCCTAAAAAAAGAGTTTTGTCCACATATAGGCCGCTTCTGAATATAAGCCGCAGGTAATTGTACTGTACACAGGATTTAATGATGAGGAGGCATTATGTAGTATCTGTCTTTTATAATAGCGCATCAGTTTTATATATTGCTTTACTCTAGCCACAGCTGCCCCGGGGCACACTGACAGAAGCAAGGCAACCAGTCTGTGCCATCAGCCCCTCCCACCACCACCAACCATTCATACACACACCAGACTCATTCTAATGTGGAGGAGGTGTTGCCTAAGGACACAGCCACAGTTTGGTAATTTACAGCCACAGCCGCCTCACTGTGGCACCTTCTGTTCCCAGAGGTCTCCCATCACAGTACTAACCAGGCCATGTCCTGCTTAGCCACAGAGGTCTGACGGGATCTTGGCTTTCACCTGCAGGTATAAAATATTCCAACTCACTATTCTATTTCAATGGACACACAAAACCTTCCCCTGTTTTTTCTCTCTCTGGTCTCTCTCTCTCTCGAGCCCCTCTCTCTGGTCTCTTTCTTGTCTCTCTCCGGTCTCTCTCTGGTCTGTCCCTGGTCTCTCTCTCTGCTCTCTCTCTGCTCTCTCTCTTGTCTCTCTCTTGTCTCTCTCTGGTCTCTCCATGGTCTCTCCATGGTCTCTCTTTCTAGTCTCTCTCCGGTCTCTCTCTGGTCTCTCTCTGGTCTCTCAGGTCCATGCCCACTGCCTGTGGATCATAAAGTAACCCACTCCAACTTCCCTCCCATCCACTTCCCCTCACCTCTTCTCCCCATCGCCGCCTCACAGCACCAGTCCACGCTGTGTCCTCTCTATCCATTATGCAGCAGGCTCTGACTCGTGTGACTGTCCCCTGTCACGTCCGCTCGCTCTCAAATCGTCCCGTAGGAGTCGACCAGGCGCATACGTGACGTTACGCGCTGTTTATTCGTGAAACAGGCTCGAATTATGCCACTGTATAATAAATGATGCAGAGAAGGAGACAGCAGGTGCACTCACACTAGTTTCCACACGGCCCTGCGTCGGAATGCCGTCTTTACGCGCTCAATACGCACAGGCGAAATGGTTATACGTGGGGGGGGGAGTATAACAGGGTATTTATTTGATGTTTTGATCATGGGGTAGGTCGCGATTACTCACCCAGGACGCCGTATGGAGAGATGGAAGACGTGTGCTTGTGTCTCTGCTGCTGCTGCTGCTGCTGCTGGGCACTACCGGAGTCCACTTGGTCACTTGTCATCTGCCTGCAAGTGTCCATCCTGCCTCCCGCGGTGGTGCAAGACCCGTTGGCGTCACAATGCGCCGCTGCGGGCTGCATAGCGTGGTGCTGTGGGCTGGGATGTGGTGGTGGTGAGTGGGGAGGGTGGTGGTGTTGGTGGTGGAGGTGGTAGCGGCGGGGACAGGACGGGGAGGCGGCTTGATGTGAGTGAGCGCGTCCCGGTGGTGGATCACGGCATCTTTACGCAGCACACGGAGCAGCGGTCGTGACGCAGCGGGAGACTCCACATTACAACAGGTCTGTGTGTGTGTCTGTGTGCGCGGGTGACGTCACAGTGGAGAGGTGTGTGCGTGGGTGACGTCACGGGGTGCATGAGTCCCGGAGTGCGCGTGACAGGTGATGTATCCCACCAGGGGCAGCACGTCACATTATTCATATACAACAGACTAGAGTCACTATGAGCAGATAAAATACAGCAGGGGTCTCCAACCTTTTTCTATTGGAGTCTGAGACATAAACCTCAGATGTAAACTCAGAAAAAAATCCAAAAGTGAAATGATGATAAAGATTTAATGAAATATCACAATACTTTGCTTTACTGTATTGATTAAAATGCAAGCATAAAATATAGCGATATTGAAAATAATCGATTTTTACCCCCAGCAATACCATGTTTATTTTTTGTATTACTTTATTTTTATTAGTATTAAATTCTTACAAGTTGATGGGTTGAGGGCAATGTTAATAAAAAAGAATGTATTTAAGTCTTTGTGGAGGTGGAGGTGGAGGAGGAGGTGGAGGTGGAGGTGGGCGTGTCCTGCATTTACCTGTCCATAGGTAAAGTAGGGACCGCGGTTGAGGAGGAAATACAGTCAAAAACGTTTCTATATTTTTCCTGTAAGTTCAGTGCAGGTCGGTGCATCTCTATCACGAGATCTTATCTTGCGATAGAATGTGTGTGTCTGTGTTTGCATGTTTTGGTGTGTGTGTGTGTATGTTTATGAGTGTGTGTGTGTGTCCATAAACTACTTATTTTCTTACTTTCTTCTTACTGTACTCACCTTTTTAATCTTTTTTGTTATGAATCCTTGTATTTGTTTATTGATATTGTTTACATTCATTCATTGTTTTCACTGTAACCTTTTCCTTTGCTTTATAACTGTTGCCTTGTTATGTTTTTGAATCATGACATTTTGACCGACATAATGAGCAATGTAAAAGCGAAAACTCTCAAAGAAAATAGAAAAAAATGTGTAGAAAAACACTAAATTTCCCGACTCCTTCCACCTCCGTCGACAAAACAGAGGCTTGTGATGTCACATGATTACCGACTTATGCTTCAGTCAATAGAGAACATGTTTAATCTCTCTTCTTCCGTCTAATCCAGCCCCTCCTAAATCCTGTGTGTGCAGTTCTTCTAAGCAAACACCTGGAGAATCTACTTTTAAGACTCAAAACCAGTCCAGACGAGACCCTTGAACCAAGCAGCAGCTGAGGAGCACGTGTCCGAGGGCGCCCCCTGTGGTCACCGCGTCTCAGTACAGACAGACACACACTACAGACACACACACACATACAGTACAGACAGACACACATACACAGACAGATACACACACACACAGACAGACACACACTACAGACACACACACACACACAAAGACAGAGAGAGGTCTTAAGGTGCTTTCTCACCGCTGACGCCGGAACTCTGACGCCTCGCGCACCAGACGCACATTCTCTAGTTTTCAGACGCAGGGGTCTTCAGACCAGAAGTCCTGGGCTGGGATGCAGCGGGCGGGCTTTGGCGCTAACGGAGTTAAGCTAGCGGCTTTTTGTGTAAAGTTCTTCTCCAATAATGCAGCGTCTCTGTGTCCAAAGACCTTCCAGAGACTTTATATAACAGCAGTATGTGTTCACGGAGGTGACTTTATATAACAGTAGTATGTGTTCACGGAGGTGACTTTATATAACAGTAGTATGTGTTCACGGAGGTGCGCCATAAGTTTATTTTATTATTAAACGGTACTTCCACATCGGTGAACACACTCGAAGCAGTTGCATAAAGTCACGGGAGCATGAAAACGCATATGTTCACAAGCACTATGTCCCCCATTGTTAACCCTGGTTTAGTCCTGGTTTTAGTCCTGGTGTAGCATCTGTTTTGCCTGTTTACGTATATGTTCAGTCTGCTCGCTCAGACCGCTAATGTCCCCGTGACCACTTTGCGGCTCTCTGATTTGCTGAGCGTCCCGAGGAAACACTCAGCAATATTTATCTCCTGCGTGCGTCAATTTTCCGCTCCTGCGCCTCTGCCGCGCAGTCCGTGCATCTATACAGGGCAGTCCGTGCGTCTCTACAGGGCAGTCCGTGCGTCTCTACAGGGCAGTCCGTGCGTCTCTACAGGGCAGTCCGTGCGTCTCTACAGGGCAGTCCGTGCGTCTCTACAGGGCAGTCCGTGCGTCTCTACAGGGCAGTCCGTGCGTCTCTACAGGGCAGTCCGTGCATCTCTACAGGGCAGTCCGTGCGTCTCTACAGGGCAGTCCGTGCGTCTCTACAGAGCAGTCCGTGCATCTCTACAGGGCAGTCCGTGCGTCTCTACAGGGCAGTCCGTGCGTCTCTACAGGGCAGTCCGTGCGTCTCTACAGGGCAGTCCGTGCGTCTCTACAGGGCAGTCCGTGCGTCTCTACAGGGCAGTCCGTGCATCTCTACAGGGCAGTCCGTGCGTCTCTACAGGGCAGTCCGTGCGTCTCTACAGGGCAGTCCGTGCGTAAGTCCTGAGACGCACGTGCAGTTCCACGCTCGAACGCGCGTCACCATTGACTTTGCAGTGAAAGTCGAGGCAACGCATGATCCGGTCTGAAAGCAGCTAAAGACTGTCTCTGCTGCGGTCTTTACCCTGTACGTCCACTAGATGGAGACACACGTTGCCATGGGGACTGTGCCACTAACAATGCTTCTAATCTGGCTCCTGCAGGAAAAACAAAATGTATTTATGAAACAAAAAGAAGGTTCTCCAGCTTTAAGTCTAAAAGTATTATGGTCACTTTCATATTTTCTTTCACTCAGACACTTTTTTCAAGAATATTTCACTTCTTCCAAGTTCACTGTATATTTTTTGCAGTGTAGTAGACAGCGTTTATTTAAATATTGTTGACGAAACCTTTGTGAGCGACCAAAATATCCCTTTATCTTTCCGTGTGTGCGACCCACCTGTTGAGAACCACTGCTTTAAAGCGACGAACACCACATGGTCTTGTTACAAAAAGCTGAGACTGTAAATAGAACGTACAGTGTGAGAAAACCTGGTCAGATGGTGATGGGAGACCTCTGCTTTACCAGGTGGGGGCTGCCCTTGTGTCCTTGGGCAAGACACGTTACCCACAATGCCGAGTCTGAGTCTGGTGTCTGCACACACAGGTTCTGGGAAACTATACAATGCAAAAATAACAACCAGTCCCAAATAAAACCTTAAATATTCAGGACAGAATGAAATGGTTTGAATCTGTTTTTTACCATGAGAGATAAAGTCTTTAAAGTGACAGGAAGCTGTGACGCCAGAGAATGTTCTAGTTCTGTTCATGGGATTCAAGATATCTGAGATTCAAGATACGGTATCTGACAGGAAACCAAAACTGTTCTCAGTCTGATCTTGTTTAGCTCTGGTGAAACAGAGACTAAACTTTAGGTTCTCTCTGATGTCACGTGTGAGAAAGTGCTGTGTCTAAATATCTATAATGCAATATTCAACTTTAGAGAAAAGACTAAACCAACACTGCAAAAAATGAAAAAATATGAGGTAATAAATGCTTGAATCAAATATAAAAAAAAAAAAAAATCATCTGAGTTCATTCTGACTGTTTTAAAAGCAGATTTCTCCAACAGGACAAAGCCATTTCTAGCCTGGTCTTATCCATCCGTACTCTCCGGTCAATCATCATTTCCTGCCTGTAACGTCTGGGTCTGGTCCCTGTGTTAACAATTACAATCGGTTGAATTCCATTCGACCAATCAGAGAGAAAAAGAGTTTGCGTCGAACGGGCAGGTTGTAGTTTGGCGAAGAATGCGATAGTAAAGTAATCAGGTCTGGTTCTATCAAGAAACTGAAGCTGGAGCAAGAGGAATGTTTAGCAAATGTAAAATGCTGGCGCTACTCCCCACGGGCTCCGTTAGCGGCAAAGGAGATGGCTAAAGCTAGGCTAAATGCTAACGACTCACTCAGGTCATTACAAACGTCACGGTAAACTCAGATCCAATAGTTTCAATCTGCAAAAGGAGTTAGCCCCTCCCACCTGTTAACAGAGTCAATGGAGCAAATCCAGACCTTAGTATGAAATGTAATTTGTACTATGGTGTGGTACGACCAGGCTAGGTTAAAGAACTACCTTTATTACTATTGTGTATTACGTAGCTTCAGCTTGTATTGTCTTCTTTGCAGCCTTATTAAGTGTGTTTTACTATATTATTATGATTATTATCTAGGCTCAGTCCTGACCCTTGCTCTTATAATGTGTTCTCAGAGTGTCCTTCTGCACCTTCCTGGCTCAGGAGTATCCGGATCTGGTCCATAAGGTTTTGGGGATTTTTACATCTGCGCAGTTGTGTGTATCTCATGCAATGTGTGTAACATGACAGTGACCTTGTTTGTGACTTGTCTGCACAGCGCTGATAAGTTTAGAGAACTACTGTGTGTTCAAGTAGCCCTCAGTCCTCTGTCTGGTCTCTCTTGTCTCTTTCTGGTCTTTCTCTCTGGTCTCTCTCTTTGGTCTCTCTCTCTGGTCTCTCTCTCTAGTCTCTCTCTCTTTGGTCTCTCTCTTTGGTCTCTCTCTGGTCTCTCTCTCTAGTCTCTCTCTAGTCTCTCTCTCTCTCTCTAGTCTCTCTCTCTCTCTGATCTCTCTCTATTCTCTCTCTCTAGTCTCTCTCTAGTCTCTAGTAGTCATAGTCTCTCTCTCTCTCTGGTCTCTCTCTAGTCTCTCTCTCTCTGGTCTCTCTCTCTGGTCTCTCTCTAGTCTCTCTCTCTGATCTCT